CCTCGCCAAAGAAACCTAAAAATAATTTTCTCAACACACCCATATAAAATACGAAAAGGAATATTCTTCCTTCATAATTTTTTCCTTAAATGAATGCTGTGTCCATTCATATAACAACAGTGCTAATGTTTTTTCTGGTTATCGGAAATCCTGCCATGAGAGAAAGAGAAAAAAACAGAACAAAATTGTGATACGAATTCAAGATGGCCAATCATCATCATCATTATCTCAATTTGATTTTATTTCATTCAGTACAGATCTTATCCATATGAATATGAATATGGCATGTGTAAATAATAATAATAGTGATTACATATAAAATTATTACATTGCAAGTCAGTCATCGAAATTGATAACATTATTATCGAATGACGATAAAGAAAGCAAAGGAATCAAATCTATTTGGCGGATATAGTGTGGTTCATTGCCAAAAGCAAGTGGGAATGTATGTGAAGATTTCATTTAATAAGAATGTTATCATTATTTATATAGACACATGGAAAATTGGCCACGAGGGAAGATGAACAAGAGTGATTATTTTATTTTTTTCTGGTGGAGTGCAAAATGATTAATTTCATTTCGATCAAAATCTTCAAAAAAATTTCTTTTGAAATAAGCAGTAAATCGAACATAGCAGATCGATATTTTGATAATGGTGATGTAATGTTTCAATTTAATTCATTTTTTCTTCTGGAAAACTTTCTAAAAAGTAAAATTGTTGTTGTTGTTAACACTTTTGCGACAACAACAAATTGGCATTGATTTTATTATTCACTTTTTCGCTTATTTTCTTTACTTTTGCAACAACCAGAAAAAAGTTAAATCGATTAAATCTTGATAAAGTTTGCCGCACACAAACACACACACACAGTGATAAGAAAAAGTATTGGGAATTTTGAATCAATTATATTCATTTATTGATCAAATAAAGTACATGCAATTCGTGAACAGCAAGAAAAAGCAAACCTGTCAGATTTTTTTCATTTGAAAATTAACTTTTTAGAAACAAAGTTTCACAATTCTAGGCAGAGTCATTACCATCATCATGATAATTTATTATTAACTGAAAATTTCGACAACCCAAAAAAATATTGAAACTGACTAATCAAATTAACGTGAATAGTGTACACAGCAGTGCAGTGCTGGGCTTTATTTCAATATTTTCTGTCTTTTGAATATTTGTTTTTTATTCTTGTCAATCAAATAATACGAAAATATGATAGGAATTTATGGATTCTTTTCATTTTCATTTCAAATTCACTATGGAAAAATCAATCCCAATAATACAATATTAATAATTTGATAGTGTATTTTTGCATTTTTCCTATACCATTTGCCATTTTATTCATTTTTTGCTGAAAATTTTATTGGAAAATTTATTTCATGGATTCCATTCTTTTAATTGCAAATGTTGAATGTTTCTTTTCATCGTCATTTGGATTTGCGAAATGCGGCAAAATTTCGAATTTTAACAAAAACAAGAATGATGCAAATAATTTGCCTGATTAACAAAACAATTGGATTTGTTCCGACAAAAAACTGCAATTCCAATGAATTTCGTTTTGGGGAAATGTGAATAATGATCATAATGATCATCAACAACATTTTTAAGAACATTAACATTATTGTGTCCATCCAAAATGATGATATGACAATATGATATTCAGCCACATAACATATTGAATGAAAATGGAAACCAATGTGCAACAAATCAAATAAACAGAGCAATAATGATGATAATATTCATAATCTCAACATAATAAATTAATAACAAATGACATTTTTTGGTTGGTCGAGAGAGACAATAAACACACAGAATGAGAAAATTTTGTACATGTCAAGAGATTGTCACTAATCATCATTATTATCATCATCAATAGACTTTGCTGTAGAACAGTAGTGAAGTTAGCCAAGGAAATAGATAAGAATCCATATGACTTGAACATGTATGTGTGCTGTCATACTATCAACATTTTCTATAGTGAACCAGATTTTGGTCATCACAAACAAAATGAATAGAGAAAGTCAATGAATCGACTGGACTTGATAATGATGTTGATGATGATGATAATGACAGCAAATGTGTGATTACACACAATCAATATTGGCAATGAAATTCGTTTTTTATTTTGCAATAAATTCGGTGTTGACAAAGCGATTTCCAAGAAAATAAACTGTTATGTGACATGACACATACACACACAGAGAGAGTTGAGTGCAATTGTGCTAATTGAACCGAAGACTTTCTTTATTTTCATTTTATTTTTGGTTTCTTTTCTTTTGTGCATGATGTTGTTGTTGTTGTGGAAACTGTATGTGCCTTTGTCTATTGCCACCCGGAAAACAAAAACGAAAAGCGAAAAAAGCCGAAACGTCATCGGATGGATTGGATGGATGGATAGATTCAACCATGTGGTAGCAAATGTGAATGGCGCCCTTAGAATAAAATATCATCCTCATCATGTTGTTACATTTTTATGATAATAATTTCTTTGCGAAGAAATGCAAAAAAAATGAAAAATGAAAAAATTCAGATCAAGATGATTTAATAATAATAATGATGATGTGGATGCGGATAAAAAATATGGTTTTTTCCAAGATGCTGATTCTGTTTTTGTTGTTGATGGAACAAAACAGAAAATATTCTGTATTCGAAAATTCAAGTGTTGTTGTTGCTTAGTGAATGTTGTTATCCATGTGGAAGAATGAAAAGAATAATAATCGTGTATATCGCCAATCAAATTCAATGAAGAATCATCACTTCTTTTATCTCTTCTCTGTTTTTTCGCTTTTCTTTTCTCTGTTACACTTTAACGAATTTTTTTCAAAGATCGAAAAAAGGGTTAGACAAGTTTTTTCTTTAAATTTGAATGGATGAGATCAAATAATTTCTTTAAGAAGACAAATTCAAACAAACAAAAAGAAAAGAAAGAAATTATAATAATAATAATAATAATAATAATAATAATAATGACATCTTTAATTTTAAATGTCAAAAAATTAGTTTAAAAAAATTTCCATCTCAAATTTCAAATATTCTCTTAAAACTTTTTTGCCCATAACCGACAATGATAGAAAATCATTTTCAACTATTTCAATCCTTTTGTGTATTTCATTCAGTGTCTTGTTTTTGTGTATATAGGTGTGTATCTCCAGTTTCATTGAAATTTTTGTTGTTGTTAATTTGAATAGTGCACCGACAACAACGACGGCAACGAACAAACAATAGAAATCATTATTTCTCTTGAAAAATATTAATTTATCGTCGTTGTCATGATTGTTATTCTCGCATCTTTTCATTCTTATTATTTCCAATATATAATGTGTGTGTGTGTCATTGGAAAAGACTTTTTTCTTTTTTACCTTTCATTCTGAAAAGATTTGACACGAAATTTGATAGTGTTCTCTATATAGAGATTACCATCATTTCATTCAATTCATTCATAGTTCATTCAATTCTTTTTTTTTGTAAAGTGAAAAATATTCTTCTTTTAAGAAGAATGTAAACAAATTTGTTTCTCTGCTTGTTTGTTTACTTCATTACTTAACATTATTTTCACAACAACAGCAACAAAATTTACAAACAAACAAACCAAAACATACACGAAAAAGATGTTAATAAATGGCAAAGAATTAGACCTGTGTTTATCTAAATGCGATATCATGATGATAATAATAATGTAACCTAAACCAACAAATAAAAATGAAAAATGTAAATAAAGTTTTACACAGAAATCAAATCATGACATTTTTTGCATATGATTGCTTGTTTGCTTGTATAGGTGACCAATAGTGCCAATTCTATTTTCGGGCTTTTTCAATGTTTCACTATCATGGTTGGTGCTAGATAAATAAAGTTCAGGTTTGGATTTTCTTTCAGGTAATCAGAAAAAGAATAAATAATGTATTTGGTTAGATGAATTTCGCGTGACATTTGAATTTATTTTTATTTTTGTTCTCTGAAGATGCAGATCAGATTAGATAGATAATTGTGTATGCAGATTTATATTTCTAATTTTCTACGTTTTGTTGTGATTTGAAAATAATTTTCACCAATCGGGAAATCAAACTTTTCGTTATTGTTTGATTAATAACAATGTTATCTGATATGGTAAGTTTGAATGCATGAAAATGATCGGATTTCACCAAACAAAACAAAAGCAGGATAAATAGAAAGTCAGACATTTCATCAATAAAGAAGCTCTAGTGAGATATTCTGCTGCCAAATGAATAATTTATTTATATCGATTGTGTTTCCATATCACGAATCGATTTTTCTTTAATAACAAAACAAAATAACCAAACAACAATATGGTTAATCTCGCTTGCTCTTTCGCGTGATATTGAATTCATCAATCATTGATTGATTGATTGAAATTTTTCAATAAAAATAAGCAAAATTTTCAATTCATAAAAGTTGATGAGAAAAGAAAGAAAAAAAACAAAAACCGGAATATGCAAGCAAAACTTTCACTTTTTTCCTATCTCTTGTTGATAGGAAATTTGATCATTTTTTGAACCATATAATTTTCAAATGGTTGTTGTTTTTTCACAAATTTTTCTTTCAATTTTTTTCTCCCCCATTGGCTGACAATGAAAAAATAGGAAACGAATATTGTTGTTGTTGATCGTGTCTCTTGGATACCGTCAAGGCGTCAAATGAAAAACGAACAACGAAAATTTTGTGATCAACATCAGCATGTATTGTGTGTGTGTGTGGGATATATGATGTAAATGCAAATTTTCAATGTTAATATTGTGTGTTCAGTGTTCGAGATTTGGTGCGAAAGACGAAAACAAAAATGTTTGACATGCTTTCATAAATTCAGCCAGCAAAAAACACCCTTCATTCATTCAACATAAACATTATAATCATTATTTCAGCAAAAAATGAATCATTATCATGACTATTTCCATGTCCGTCTTGTTGTTTTAAAATGATTTCGAAAAATGTTCAACCATCAACCAATCAACATCAGTATCGATTGATTTTTATCCCAATAACACAGATGCAAATGACAATTTGAATGAAAATTTATTCAAAAAAAATATTTTTGAATCAAATAATAATAATAACACGCAAAACAAAAATGATAATAATAATGATAATGGCATTTGAAACAATAACTATCAATAATTATAGCCAATCCACATTGATATCGCCACCATCGATATCACCACCAATACTACCAATACCGCCATCAATTAGTCAATCATCAATACATGTATCGGATTTAATTATATCATCCATCGATATTATGCAACAACAACAACAACAATCGTCATCATCAACCATACTGCCAACAGAGAATTTCAATCAATCAACAATCAATATAATTAATATTAATGATAATGATCAACAACAACAACTGCAACTAGAACAACAAAACGAAGAAGAACAACAACAAGAGGAACAACGAAATTATTCAACATATAAGGAATTAGAATTATTAGATAAACAATGGCAAATTATAATCATATTTTTATATACATTAACAGCAGCATTAGCATTATTCGGCAATATTCTAGCCATTTGTGCATTATTATTCGGCAGACGTGCTTCGAAAGAATTACGAATATTTTTAGTCAATCTATCAATGTCAGATATTATGATGGCATTGTTTAGTATACCATTTACATATACCGATTTCATGTTAGGTCGCTGGATATTTGCCCCGGCATTCTGTCCAATTGTACAACAAATGCAAATGACTTGTGTCTTTGTCTCGGTTTATACATTAACGGCCATCGGTATTGATCGGTAAGTTTTTTTTGAATTTGATCAAGTTTTTCTTATCAAAAACTGAATTGTAAACAACTAGATGGCGCCACTGCCTGTTCCCTTTTGTTATTTTTTTCCAAAAAACCTAAAACATAAATCAAAATTGTAATCTTTTCTTTTTCTTTTTTTGTTTGATTCCCATTTGGAACTTCACACGAAAAGCTATATGGCAATAATTTATCCATTATATTCTCAGCGTTATAATCATTCATTCGGTCCAATAACCATATCGATTATATGGTTGTTTGGTTTTCTATTGGGTCTGTTTCAATGGACGAATACGAAAGCAACACCATTTTTAATAGCAAATGAAACAAATTATGATTGCAAAGAAATATCCAGTGATCATTCACAATTTTTCACAATCATCATATTCATCATAACATTTGCCTTACCAATGACAATATTATCATTTACTTATGCATCGATAGGTGTCAAAATTTTCCGTCATTCAGCTCCAGGTAATGTTGATGTTGTACGTGATCGTAATCAACATGCATCCAAAGTCAAGGTAAAAGAATTGATGGATTTGATTTTGAAAAAACTAATTCATTTCTATCTTTTCATGAAAAGATTATGAAAATGTTGGTTACAATCGTAATACTGTTTGTTGTTTGTTGGCTTCCATTGCATATTCTAAGTAAGTCAAGTTTTTCCTTTCATCATATCATCATCACATTACTAACATTGCTTTCAAAATATCAAATAAAGTATAGTGGATTCCAGTGTTTTGGTTTGTTTATAAAGTTGATTTTCGCTAAATACACTTTATCAATGCTTCGAAAGCAACCTATCTTTGTCCGACAAAAGAATTTACTTTTAGTTTTTTAGGTGCAAAACTTTTATTGTTATTATTTCACCATCACATTGCTTATTATCATTATAATCATCCTCATTGTAATGCGGATGATAGAAAATTACTTTGCTTATCGAAACTATTTTTTTTTTCGTTTTTTCGCAAAAAACATTTCGCAATGAAAACTGGCAGAATTTTTCTTTCTTCAACCGAAACGAGAGAAAAAATTCAATTTCCCATTCATTTTAATCCTTTTCAGTTTCAGTTTCAAACTTGAAGATGAAATTCGTTTCATTTTCAACAGAAAAAAAACAAATTAATTGCCCAAACTAACCTCGTACACGTTGAGGATTTTTTTTCATTTTTTCATCCTGATGAGTGACACATGAAACGTTTTTTATTTTGTTTTTCTCCTCGGTAATCCATTATTTTCATGTGTTTGTGACTTGATGAATTATCCATTTTCATTTTCTGTCATCATGAAACGTTGCTGGAATAGCAAAAAATGTTTTTCTCTTTTTGCCAGAAAAAGCCAATCATCATCATTTTGAACAATATGATCGATTTATCGATGAATTGGATAGATAAATAAATGTGATTGGCAATATCATTAAGGGGTTTGATTTCAAATATTAGAAAGCAAAAATCGAAAAATTGGGTGTCCTAGCATCCTGTATCCATCCATTGCCATTAGCAGTGACCAGTCTAGTCATTTAGTTATTTAAATATAATCTCTCTTTCTCTATTGATCAATATGATCGATCTATTGATCAGAAATCATCTTCATCAAAAATAATGATAGTGATCAATAATTGCACAACCAAAACAACAGAAAACGAAAAAAACAATGTAAACGATGCAATATGTAATAATATACTCTGTTTGCCTTTATTTTTTCTCTTTCTAACAAACAAATTCATTTCAGATTTTTTTGCGTTGGGGTTGTTTGTTATTATTATTGAAAGAAAAACATTGCATTTCTATTTGTGTGATATCTGAGAAGTTTGTTTTTGTTGAAAAAAATTTCAAAATAAATAAATAGTGTGTGTGTGAGTGTTTAGTGGCGTGTGAAATTTATTTGAAACAAAAAAATATGTGTCACACACACACTTCTGTGTAACAAAAAACTAACTATATTTGCAAAATTCTTGCTAAATTGAAAATAATTTGTTAGGAAAATGGGAATTTTTTTCGCATTTTAATTGAGTAAATAGTAAATGATATGATGAGAAGAAAGATACATTTTGATCAAGAATTTTTGAGTGAAAAATATTCACAATGTTCTTGACTTTCAACGACAATTTTCATTCATATGATTCGCATGTGGATCGATAAAATAGTATGCATATTACAAATGTTGATTATTAATTTTCTTTCTTTCGTTTTTTCTGTCTATAAGTATGATTGCCATTCTTGGGAAAAAATAATGGAAAAAGCAATGGAACAAAGAAAGATAACAGGAAAAAAGCCGAAAGCAATTCTGTTGTTTGTTAATGTTAACTATTTGCAAATAATGATAATAATTTTCATTTGTCGTCGTCATTATCGTTGATGATGATCATCTGCCTAATGATATGGAGAAATTGATTTTTGTCTTTGTTTCATTGCTACTAATCAGTTTCAATGGAATCTTGAATACCGTTTACACATAGACCAAAATCGTCAATGTCAGAATTTATTTTGAATGAATCTGACACAGAACCAAACTTGAGCTTCAAAATAATTGACATTTTCTCATATTCATTTTGCCTGCATCCTACGCCGATAGTCACTTTGGTTTATTATTTTGGTAAATAAACTTGTTTGTTGTTTCTTCCCGGGATGATTTGATATCGAATGAACTTTTTGTTTCTCACCCACAAACATTCTCTAATAGGAAATAAATTCAAACACACATCCTACCGCAAATTCTGTTGCAAAAAATTGCCAATCCTTTTTTCGATTTTGATTGACATTTGAATCAATATTTGCTGCAGAAACAATTTTTTTGTCAAACATGCACTATCGATGATGATTTAATTTTAATCAATCGATTGAGTTATCTATCAAACAAAATTCAACAAATGAAAATTCCCGGAAAAATAAACGACCCGTTTCAGATTGAATTTGCTATAAAAAAAACCTTTGATTTTGTTTTGGAGTGGGATGAAATTTTCAACAAGCAAAAAACATCAAATGATTAATGATGACTATACAATCATCATCATTATCATCTAAGATTATTCAACCAAATCATTTCTCTGTTCCTTCTGTGTATCATATTCAGAGAAAAACATTAAGTTTTTTTCTTCGGGATAGAAAAAATGTTTTTTTTCTCGTATTTTCTCGTGATTCAAATGTTGGTTAAGCTTTATGTTCGAGGAAAGAAAATGTTGAATGACATTTGCAGAAGAAGAAAAACGAGAAACCATTGCATTAATCAGATCACATTTCGCTTTTGAAAATATCAAATGTTATTTTAACAACAATGTTTTTTTACTTCTCACAGCTGCATCTGGACTAAATATTTTTTTCTTGAAAATAATAAATTCTAATTCAATTTTTCTTCTCTCTCCACAGATTTGTTCATCTATTTTGCTCGTGATTTAATGGTCAATGTTTATAATTCCCAACTTGGTTTTACAATTTATGTTTCGATTGCATTCACTGCACATTGGTTTTCGATGGCCAATTCCTTTGTCAATCCAATTATTTATTGTTTTATGAGTGAAAACTTTCGGGTAAATAATAATTTTTTCAATTTTTCATTTTATCAAAAAAACCGAATCAATTTTACCTTTTTTCTGCTTATTTACGGAAACTAGTTTGTTTATCGTTTGAGGGCATTGAATATTGATGAATTTCAATGAATTTCCTTGTTGAGAATTCAAGATTTTAAAGTTTTCTTGAAATTCCATCTTGAGTTTATTGGAAAAGAAATGCCCGGAAACTATCTGAGAATATTTTTGTTATGTTTGGAAATAAGTTTGTGATTGAAGGCCTTGTTAGTTATTTATATGTGAGTTGCCGAAAATCTGGGAAATTGATCTTTGATTAATATAGGCAAAATTGATTGAATTTTTCTTCATTTCACACAGTCAGAAATTACATGTTGTTTTCGTTTCTGATTGAATTAGATGAGAAATGACAATTAATTTAAATTATTTTTCCAATTCTATTTCTCATTTGGATTGATATTGATCCGAACCATAGGCTGATCTTCGTGATTTATTTGCTGAATGCTTGCATCGTATGACAATCATTTGCAATCCAATCGATAGCCAAACTGATCGTGATCAACACAACCACCATCACCATCGTCATCGTCGTCGTCATGGCGGTGGTGGGGTTGTTAGTCATTTTGTTAGTGTTAATAATGAAAGTAGAATAAATCACAATAATCATAATGATAATAATCATTGTAATGCCAATATTCTACCTCCTCCAAATAATGATCGTGAACAATCCGAATTAAAAAATGAGCATTTTATTCTTGAATCAAACACAACAAATGTTTCTAATGATTGTCATTTACAATTAATCGAGCTTATTCAACAACCAAACACATTTGAAACTTTTAATGATAATGACAATAACGGAGGTGATGATGGCAATCACTGTAATACTGTTGTTGGTAAATATAAAACAAGATTATTATTGCATAATGATCCTGTTGATTCGACCATAACTTGTAATAAATATTTGACAAAAAAATCAACAACAACAATCGTTATTGATAATGATCAAGATAATCCAGTAACAACCACTCAAATAATCAATAAAACTATCATTTCGAATGCTGCTACTCTTCATTCTACATTCATACCTGGTAAGTAATGCTATTTGAGGATGATGTTTGCATAAAAGTCTTATTCAACTTTTTTCAACCCAAACAACGAAATTATTCAAAAAATTTTGAAATTGAAATTTAATTTAAATTCCTTTCTTTTTTCTCTCTCTCTCTTTCCATTTATTTATTGGAAATCATTTGCATATTTATGCTCTATTTTCGTTTGAAAACAAAAACAAGAAAATGAAAAGTTTGAAAAACAGCATCAACAACAACAACAAAAACAACGTCGATTTCTATCATGGTGGTTAATGATGATGATGATAGTAAATCGTCGTCACCATCAACGGAATCACCATCGAATTCTTCAGCCCACAATCCCACCATCATCATCGTCGCTTAAAAATGGAATCAAACATTCGATGAAAATGGATCAAGCAACCACAAAAAATTCAATTCGATTTTCCCATCACCAACGACAACAACAAGATCATCCACTCATTCATCATCATCATTGCAATGATCAATGCCAAAATGAAAATGAAACAACAACCAAAACGATAAAGGCGGAAAAGACGGACAAAATTTGCTGAAAAATGATGTGAATTCCACAAACGGCGACGACTCCGGTCCGAGAATTTTGTTTAAAGCCCACCGAGAAAAATGATCATCATCATCATTAGCCGGAGCAGCACAATGGAGAGAATGTGGAATAGAATCTCCTGATGCTTATTACGACAATCGTAACAAAAATTTTTTACAAACACAAACAAACAGACCAAAATCCTCCATTCAACAAATTCATTCATTCATTCATGGTGTAATGTGATCAGGAAGCAAACAATTTCACATCCAATCATCATCATCATAATGAAGTGGTGTTTATCAATATCACACTATTCACTTGATTTGATTCAACAACAAAAAGCCTTATTATTTTGTTTTTGTTTTTGACTGATTAATTAAATATCGTTTGTTGTTTCTCACCTTGTACAAAAAACTATTGCTGTAAAGTTTCCCCAGAAAAAACATCAATTCAAATTCGACCAATTGAATGTGAGCGAAATAAAATTTGATTTTTTTTGAATTTATTTTACTGGGAATTAATTGAAAAACATTTTTTCCATTTACAATCTTGTTCTGCTTTTCATTCAAAATTTTGGTAATCTCATTTGTCCGGAAATTTTGTTTGCCAGAAAATTTCCCATTGCAATTTCATATCAAATTGGCTTTTCATTAAAATTCAATTTTCTTATGTTTGTCAAACATTGGCCAAAATTGAATTATATTGCCTCATTGTTTTTTGTTTTCAATTTTGGCCACCAAATGATGTGGAAAAAGAATTGTGAAATCAAAATGACATCAATATGATGAACATTTGAATATGCTAATCACATTCACTTGATTGTCTTTTTTGTTTTCCATTTTGATTTCACCAGATCACAGTGTTTCCACAATCTACTTTCGCATTCATTTCTATCCAAAAAAATCCTCAAATTGAATTCATTTCATTTCCAAAAATGCGATAAATTTTTCTGAGGTTTCTGAAATGCTTTTCTCACTCAAATTCAATGAGATTATTATGGAGAAAAAATTGCAATTAAAAAATTAAGATAATTATCAGCGACATTCGAAAATCCATTAATAACAGAATCTCGATTCAGAATTCACAAAAGAAATTTCCAAATCAATTCGAATATATAGGGTGCTTTGTTCGGAAAGCTGTCAATTTAATTGATGAATCCAAATTCTGCTGCCAAGTTTATTTGAATTCTAAATTCCGAATTTCCTTTCTGAATTGTCATCTTCATCATTCGACTTTTTATTCTCAAAGAAATTTTAGTCACAGCATTCTTATGCACGAATAAATTGTTTCGAAATCCAAAATGCAAAACCAGCAACAAAAAGTTTTTCATCTTTTCATCATCTTTATTATTATTCAACCGAAATGATTCATGATCTGTGTGTGTGGCGAGAGTGTTCAGAATTCAGCAAGTTTATATGATTCCATCATCCATCTCTCAATCAAAATCTGAATTGAAACTTGAAACAAATAGAGAAAATATTCGAAATTGTCAATGTTTTTCATCATCATCATCGAATCACTTGTTAATGAGAGAAGCAAACAAACTGGATTAACATTTTGGCCAATCAAAACATCATCCGAATTGATTTTTTGGTATTGATTTGATTGATCTTTTTCATCTAAAATATTCATCATCATCATAATATTAATAAAGTAAAGCACCACTTGAACTTTAAGCATGAGAAGAAATCATTATATTCAGAGCTATCATCATCAATTGTCAATGTTGTTTATTTGAAAATAATTCTGTGCTGTGAAAGCAAAATCTTCCAAATTCGTCAGTATCATTTATTTCAAACGGCTGCTACTTTATTACATGTACTTTTTGTTGTTGTTTGGTTGGTGTTGCAGTCAGAAAAAACAACGAAAACGAAACGGAACATTTTGCGAAATGATAAATATTTGCCGAATTTCGGAATTGTGTTTTGAAAAAATCTAAAATGATATTCATTTTCATTTTGTTTATTTAGTTTCTGTTTGCTGGTTATCTTGCAAAACATAACAACGCAAAGAGAATCTTCTATTGAATTGAATAACGATAATGATAATGATGATGGCCCAACAAATGAATAATATTAGTCTGGCGGACATTATCATGAATAACATTAGCCATTTTATTGATGGTGATAATGATTTGAATGGATTTAGCATTGAAAATTTCGAAATTGGATCGAAAAATTTACAAATAGCTCTCATTATTCTATATAGCATAACAGCAACATTGGCATTATTCGGAAATGTATTATCGATATTTGTTTTGATCAAAGGTAAACGTAGTTCACGTGATTTACGTCTATTTTTGGTAAATCTATCATTATCCGATGTATTGATGGCCATTTTCTCAATACCATTCACATATACACATTTTATAATGGGACGTTGGATATTTTATCCCTCGCTTTGTCCATTTATACAATCAATACAGATTGTGTCGGTTTTTGTTTCCATCTATACGCTCACAACCATCGGTATTGATAGGTATGTATTGAAAGATAAATCTTCAATTCTTTAGTCATTAATCCCATTCCCATTTCCCCTCCAACATCCAGAGAAAAGTTGCCCCTACAATTATAATGAAAAAATACATTCGTTAATAAATTTGTTGTCGACCACTATTTAGTTGGTAGTAATCAAAGCAGAGAAGTGAAAAATCTAATTTCATTTTAATAAGAAAAAAATAGCGAATCCGAATTAATCAAACGAGAAAAACATTAATAATATGGATAAATAATTAATGCAAATGTAGTTGATTGATTGAATAAAATTCCCTCTCATATTTAGATATATTGCCATCATGAAACCATTTTTCGGGCAAAATGTTTGGACCAAATCATTCGCTCCAATAATAATAGTAATATTGACATGGTTATTCGGGTGTTGTTTAGGCGGTGTGATATGGTTTTATTCAACAATCGAACCATTCATTGTCATCAATAATATTACTTATTATGACTGCCGAGAAATGTGGTCAACCGATCAACATGAACAAATCTATACTGTTGGATTATTTATTGTTGTGTTTGCATTGCCATTAATATGTTTGATATATTTTTATGGTTCCATTTGTTACAAATTATGGTATCACTGTGCTCCGGGCAATGCTAATATTGCCCGGGACAATGTACAATATCATGCCAAACAAAAGGTAAGCTCCGATTGATTCTGCAAAATTGTCCAATCATTTTCCTTTTCTATCCAAAAAATGAGGTTATAAAAATGTTGATTACGATTGTTGCGTTATTTGCAATTTGTTGGCTACCATCGCACATATTTCAATTGATACGTGTATTCAATAAGGATCTTTTATTAAGATTTATTGGTAATGATGCATCAAGTCCAAAGTATTTGGCAATCGTTATATCATCACATTGGCTATCAATGGCACATTCATTTGTCAATCCAATTATTTATTCATTCATGAGTGATAATTTCAAGGTTTGTTTTTGTCAATTAAACTTTGATTAACAATTCACTTGTCAAAATAGGCAGATGTTCGATATATGATGAAAAAATTAATGTTAAAACATCGCTGTTGTTGTAGCATTGGCCGCCAACGACATCAACGTAATCATCAACGAAATGATCAGCATTGTCCGCAGAACAGAGTGGATACCATTCCAGATTATGAAATGGACGATGAAGATGAAGAAGACGAAGATGACGATGATGAAAATGGCACAAAAAGAATCGAAATGATATTATTCAACAATCATAATGCAGCGAAACAACAACAAACGACAACAAAATAATTTCATTATCCACATCACAAATCCATTTCCCAATAAAACAAAATCCACGAAATTCTATACCTTTTCCTTTTCATTCACATTGCTGTTTAAAAATTTCCGAAGAAAAATAAAAAATTTGATTATCAAATTTCCTTTTTTCAGGCAAAATTTCATTCAAACTTTTTAATTCTTTTGTTCAACAACAAAAAAGCTGAACAAATAAAGTAAAGTAAAAAATAAAAATAAAATCTCAATGACCATCTTAAAGTTTGTTTTTTCGTTTTTCGATTCGGAAACGCCAACGTCAACCAACCAACCTGACCAACCAAGCGCAAATGCAAACAAAATTGTCAATTCTATTTTTGACCAACAGAAAAACGAAGAAGCCAGAAGAAAATTTTCCGAAAACGAAGAAATATCCCAAGAGATATTTACATCATAAACTTTTTTTCAATAGCATCACAATAAAAAACAAAAAAAATTGAAAAAGTTCATTTTCGTCATCATCATCATGATTAGATTCGATTCGATTGGAATCACTTTCATCGAACAAAAAAACAAGTTTAATTTAAAAGTCATCCGAACAAATATATAATAGAAGAATCTTTGAATCAAGAAGATTCGAGATTGGAATTGAAATTGAACCGAAAAAAAGTGAAATAAATTAAAAAAAGTCGTTTTGTGTGTTTAAATACTTTATTAATTTGACTTTAATTTGATTGTTGTTTAGAATATCGAATACGATTGACAATTTCTTTAGCTAGATCCGGATTACTGGCAGCAATTAATTTTCCTTGATTAGGATCAAAATCCTGGCCATTAATATTGCAAATAAAACCACCGGCTTCCGTAATGATAACATAACCGGCTGCCATGTCCCAGATTTTTAAGCCCATCATAAAATAACAGTCAGCTGAACCGTCAGCAACCAAACACATACTAACACAGCATGATCCAATCGAACGAAATCCTTGACATTTCCAATGAATAGCATCGAATAACTGACGAGCAGAACCTGAATGTTGCTTTGAACCAATTGGTAAATCGCTTTCTATCAAAGCTTTTTCCACCGTCCGGATTGATGATACCCGTATCGGACGACCATTACAATAAGCACCACCATTTTTGATAGCACTGTATGTTCGTCGCAAATGTGGACAATCAATAACGCCCAATACTAATTGCTTCTCAATTGCCAAACCAATCGATACTGAACACCAAGGGGAAAAATGCGCAAAATTCATTGTTCCATCGATTGGATCAACAATCCATGTTGGCTCATTCGTAGTTAAAGTGTTTTGCGAACCAGCAACACTTTCTTCTCCGATAAATTTATGATCGGGATAACGTTGTTTTAATGAATCAAATATAAAGCGTTCAATTTGAATGTCAGCTTCGGTGACTAAATCTCTTTCACTCGATTTAATATTCACTTCAAATGAACCTTTACGATGCCATTCCAGAATCATTTGTCCAGCTTGTTTAGCCAAATCGATGGCAACACTAACATATTCATCAAGTTTATCCATGTTTTTTCTGGTTGCAACATTCTCCAAAATCTGGAACACTGAAACAAAAAATAATCAGATGTTATTCAATAATAAAGTCATTCCATTTTTGTGTCGCCCTCTATCGAGTAACGATCGAACTCGACGAGGAAAAATGTCAAAATTTTATTTCGAAAAAAATTAGGTATATTATGAATGATTAATAATGAATGAAATTTTTTGAAAAAAGCAGATCAATTGATTTTTGGTTTTGAATGATGTTTGTTTGTTTGTTCATGATCATATCATCATATCATCGATCATTTCGTCCGTTTCGGCCAGAACATTATCATTAACAATTTTATTGTCATCCGAATTTGCCTGCCGCCATTCATCAAGATCACGATCAAGATCATCAGCTGAAATGTTTTTATTTCGATGATTATTATTATTATTATTGTTGTTATTATTATTGAAACGTCGTCGTGGTTGTTGTTGATGTGAATAATTATTAGCACGATTATTCGATGATTGACGAGATGATGATGTTTTCGATCGTAAAAACGATGTAAACGAATCTTCAACTTGTGAATTAATCATAGTTATATGTAATGGTTTGCCATCCAATGGCACACCATTCAATTTGTTACGTGCAGCAATGGCTTCATCACGACGTTCGAATTCAACTTCACCGGTACCAAGACTGGTACCATGTTGATCATAGTGCACAAATGCCCGATTTACATTGCCAAATGACATGAACAATTCATTCAGATCTTCAGTAGTAACATTTGGCGCTAAATTCGATATATGTAATGTAGCCGATTGATATGAGGAATTTCGATTAAAATTTATTGATCTTGGCCGATTGGATTGTTGTTGAAAATTGGATTGTCGCCTAGGTATCATGGTATTTCGATTATAACGTCCATTATTGAATGATCGATAATTATTATAACGTTGATTATGATTATAATTATTCCGATTATTTCGATTATTATTCATACGTCCACCACCTGCAAATTTCTTTGTTCTATCCAAACGAATGATTTCATCCAATGACATATCAATTTTGGAGTTTGATTCAGTATCCATTTTTGATTAGCGATTGATGGTCGATGTCGATGTTTTTGAGAAAAAAAAACGAAAATATTGAAAATGCAGAAAAAATGCCTGAAAAGCCGCTCGAATTTTGATGAACAAAAAAAGGCTCGGGCCATTCTTGTATAAATAACAATGGTGCTCATAAACAATGTTACATAATTTGTACAGACATCTAGTGATTCAATTTTGAGGCTGTTTTTTGCGTTCGAACAGAAATGGCTAAAAAAAGATTTCCTTTTTTTGTTTGTTTCATTACCGTTGCTGTGATTGATTGATGATATTATCATCCAGTTGGAGAGTTAGGTGAGAGAGAGAGTTTTATCCGAATCAACAAATGGCAGACGAATGAAATGAATGAATGACAATGCAGAAAATCTAAACTGATTTCAAAGTTATGAATTTTTCATAATTTTTCATAATGCTTTTTATGATTGAAGCATGAAGATCAAATATAATTAATCAATCAATTCAATCAAACAGAAAAAATCCTAAATTCGAACGTTTTGTGTTTCGAAAAACATCATTAACCGAAAAAATGATGATGATTTGATAATTAGAACAGGTTGGGGTAATGAACAAAAAAATCATCCAACCATGATGATAATGATTATGATCAAGATTATCATGACTGATTTGCATTCATCATAATCATATCTTCGAACAAGATGACAACAACAAATAACTTCTGCTTCTGTTTTCTATACTAATCATGTTCATCATCAAACAATCTAGGTAAGTAAGGTTTGCTGTTCTGGCTTTGTTTGAAAATGATAATTTTATTCAAATTCAATTCCGTTGTTATTATCATAATATAAGATTCAGCCGAAAAAGATTTGCTCAAAAGTCAACATTATCAAATCTCCGTCATGGTCGCACATAGCAACACAGATAAACAAAAACAAAAATGTTACGTTATCATTTTGAACCGGTGATATGTTCCTCATGGTTACACTCTATATATCCACCAATCAACCTGTTGTCATCAATGTTTTCCTGTTTGATTTTTTCTTCATTGGACATCCACTGTTGTTGAGGAACAATTTTTTCTGTGTCTGATGATGAGGATTTAGAATGTATCCAATAAAGAAAATTAAATTTCCGTTGCGATTTTTTTTCTTCTTCAAACAACAACAACAAATCAAATCAAATGCATCATATAAAAATTGTTTCAATTCTGAGTGTGTGTTGTTGTCAATCGTTACTATCATGGTTTGTTTGGAAAATCATCTCTGCAAAAAAAAATGTTAACCATAAGATTGCTGGTGACATTATTATTATGTTTTGATGATGATGCTATGCTAAAAAAACCAAACCACAAAATGATGATGGAACAATTTATTACCAACTATCACACCATTCAATCAACCAACGTAGCTGCTAGTTTTATTTGATAATTGTGTGTGGTGGTGACTATTGTTGGTCTATTGATCCTACAGCTAAATAAAAGCCAAGGGTTCTGTTATATTGACGAAGTGATTATCGGTCGTCGTCGTCGTCAGGGCGTCAATTGTCATATTTATCAATTGTAATTTGATATCGCCAGAGAAAAAGAGTGTTCCTTGTTGAAATTTTTTTGTCAAAAAATGGATTGATTGATCAATTGAAATTCATCTTATTTATCTGGATTTTTATTTTATTTAGAGATAAATTGATTTCACCATCATTCTATTGTTTTTTAATCAAAAATTTAATTAAATGTGATGTGAAGGTCATCATTTTTTCTTTCTTTTCTTTAGTTTCGTCATTTATTATTGATAACACTGATTTTTCTGTCATCGTGTAACAACGTAATCAAAAGAAAAGATCTCTTTGATTGGTCGATTAATCAATGAAACCATTCAATTCATTCCGAACCAAGTATCAACCACTAATTGTAATGATGATGATGATTATCGACCAGGAAGAAATTGATCACCATAATGATGATGATCGAATTCGTTCGGAATTTGAAAAATTACTGGAAAAATTTTCCATAATAAAACAACAACATAAACGTATTGTGAATGATATGATCCAAATGGAAAATTCCATCCAACAATTCGAATTGCAGTCACATCGATTTCGAAGAAAATTTTTACAGGAAAAAAATTATTCAAAAACAAATAATAATGATGAGGATAAGAATGTTTCAGCAGACATTCAGCCAAAATATTTATCCAATCAATCGGATATCATCGATATGGATGTCAATGAAAAATCAATCAATTTTGTCGATGATGATCAAGAAACGGTGATGAATATCGATCATAATTTTCCGAAACTGAATGAATTGAATATTGATAACATTGATTCACTTTCAATCAATACCATCGATCATTTAATTGATAGATTATGTGAGGAAGCTCGAATCGATCCACGTATTATCAATGATGATAGCGACATCCTGTTTAATAGTATTATTGATGATGATGATGATGAGCAACAACCGGATACAAATGTTACAAACAACATTCCACAATCAAACGATGACGAAGATGAAAGTATGAAAACAGATGACGAATATCGTTCATGTGAAGAATCTTGGACATTGGAAAGTCCACAACTGAACTATCAAACACCATTTGATTCATTATCAGATGTACAAGAAGAATTATTATCGTCATCATCCGATCAATCTAGTTGTTGTGCAAATGATAATGACAATGAACAAACATTGAATGATATCTCAACAGTATTTGCTTCAAATAAAATCAATGAGAACAATGATTTAAAATCGCAGAAATCTGTATCATTTGATGATTCGACGTCGATCGATAAAAATGATGATAAGGAAAACATGCCCAACAATGGTAACAATGATGATGATAATGGCGACAATAGTGGTAGCAAATTACGAATCGATGTTGTTCACGATGAAAATGATCAAAAATCATTTGAATTTTTCATTCATGATCAAAATGGACAACCAATACACGAACGTATCATATTGAAGCCAATATCGAAACAGACAAATAACCATCCGAATGATGGTAAATGCATTGTCAATGTGAACAAACATAAACATTGTAATGATGATGATGATTTACCATTCCATAACCATAATCCTCATCATCAGCTAACCAAACCACGTTCACCATCGTTAGATTATGATTACGATGATAGTGATCATGGCCAATCATCAACATCCATATCGATTGATGAAAACAATTATGATTGGCGTATGATGCGTAATTTTTGGGAGAGACGTTCACTTGGACCACATTACCGTTATTCGTCCAAGAAAAAATTGAAAAAAATGAATGAATAATGAATAATGATAATAAGTTTATTTTGTTAATTTTAATAAGAAAAAATATTTATTGACTTGCATGTTTGTAAATTTGTTTGTTTGTTTTTTAATTATTATTTTAATTATTTTAAGCTTTTTGATTGAAAAATAAAAAAATGACAAAGTTGTTTTTTCAAAATAAAGTATTGATGAATCGAAAAAAAGAAGTGAAAGAATGAAACTTTGACGAAAAACTAAAAAAAGAAAGATCAATCAATTTGGTTGCAATTTTTGCATTTGTCGGCGAAATGCTGAACATAATTCGGGTATTGAATATCTGCAATCAATTTGAACATATTGCTTTGAATTCTGCAATTGAATAATTTTTATCCATTTCGAGCCGACTGCGTCCAATTCGAATCGAGATAAATATTCCAAATGACGACGTGATTCTAACGCAGACATTGGAACACTTGTGGATATTCGCTCGATAAGATCATCTTTTTCTATGGATCGTTGCCATGGAGATCCAACAAAACAATCATAAATAATTCGTGAAATATCTATCAAATTCGATAGTGTACGTATTTCACGATCAATTTCAGGCGGTCGACGCATTAACCTGGCTAGTTTGGCGGCTTCCTTTGCACGAACTTTATTCAATAAATCGGCGGATATTCCTTTAAGCAACCCTGATTGGATTTTATTCGTATGTAGCGGTGTATCACCATCCTTATTACCATTTGTATCACTGTTATTATCATTATTATTATCGACGATTTTGGCAACTGAATCAGTTTTTGGTCCGAAATAATCAAGAATTGTTGTCGATTTTTTATTGGTCGTGGTTGCGGATGAATTTTTACCAATTTTCGGTTTCATCGGTAACAACGTATAATCGGGTTTAATATCCGAAACAGAATCCAATGCAAACATTGGATGCCAACGATAAATGTGATCATCTGCATCGAGATTTAATTTCATCTGCGAAAGAAATTTTAAATGTTCAACACGCGTCAATTCCAAAAGCAGACGATAAAATTCTTTTTCGCGCTCCAATAATGTTCCAATAGAATTGAGACATTTTAAATTGTCATCTCGATATATAGGCGTCAGAACAAGATTCAATTGGCCGGCATACAATTCCCATGTCAAACGAAATTTGGGATTTTGTTTCAAAACGGTAAGAATTTTGAGCATTGAATCCAATGTGAATGTACGATGCGTGGAATGTTCAATACATTGTTTCATTTTATCAAATGTGCACACTTCTTGTCGTTTGAACATTCGCCAAGAATTATAATCGATAATTTTGAACATATCCACTAAACGTTTGAATGCAATGGGTAATGGCAGTTCTAAATCGGTTTCGTCGACCGAGGCGGAATTTTTAGTCGGTGTTTTCAATGGTGACTGGAAAAGATTTCGTGGTTTTATCATTTGAGATGATGATGTTGTGGCAATGATTGGTTTCATTGGAGATCCAAAAGTTTTTCGTGGACTTGATTTGATTGGTGATTTAGCATTAGGGCTACTAGCATTGCTAAGATTTTGTTGATATTTAATTTTCATTTCTTTAAATTTTCGTATCTTTTCCGAACAATTATTAATATTGACTAACTGCTCTTTAAGTTTGGAAAGATTATTACATGATTGTAGTCGTTGTTTGATATCGTCAGCTTTCATCAATGGTTTTTCATCTTTTGATGATGATTCGCATTTCGTAATCGATTGCAAACCTTTGGATTTAAGAAAGTCACCAAAGGATTCCGATGATGAATTGTCATTGTTATTTTGATCACTTGAATTTGATTCGATACAATCCTTGAAATCAAGTTTCCGGATGGCAGCAGCCGGACCATAATCAATAGGACAACGTCCACGACGCACCATTTTTGTTTCAGTTTTAGTGGACACATTTTTCGTTGTTGAAGATTTGAGTTTTTTCGATGCTGGTACACTTTTGGTCGTTACATTCGAAGCAGCAGCAGCTCGACGTTTTGGAGTTGGTTTTTTTAGCGAAATAATTTCCTGAACATTATTCGATTTTTCCTGGTTGATCGACGATGATTTAACACTTTTTCGTTGTTTCGATGAATTGGAAATTGTTGGGAAAAATTCTGTAATATTACGTTGATTAGTCTCCACAGAATTAGTAGCCATGTTAATGATGATGATGAAACCAAAAATGAAACAAAATAAAAAACAAAACCAAGATTGAAGCAAAAAAACGTGCAAATAATGATTAAAGAGCTTTGAAAAAAAGACAAAAAAAATTAAAACTCTCAAAACGAACAATGCCAAACACAGAGAGAGAGGGACCAACACACACCACGTATTGAAAACAATGCTACTACCACTGATATGGGCAATCGTATTTTGGCGGGTAAAAAATAAATGATTCAACACCGTTCATAAATACCAGTACAAAAATGAATTGAATAATTTTTTACATTTTATTTGGTGAAAAATGAGGGTTTAAAAAAAGTGAGAAACATTATTTTGAAAAATTCAAAGCTAATCAAAAACGACAGCCGAAAGCATTGTACCGAGTGATTGTACAATATTATTGGTCATCAATTTATCAACATTTTCTTCCAAATGTCTTTTCGGATCTTGTTTGCCAACATTTTTGATTGCCAATTGTTGTGGTGTCAGTTTATCTTCTTCTTCGACAGCTTTGTTGTATAATTTAGCCAAATCCAGCATATGTTCGATAGTTGATTCATTAATCGAACAATGGTCTTTATAATTTTTCAATTGTAAACCTTCCATCCAGGATTTTTTATGCAAATTTAGCAGCATTTTTTGTTCCAATTCATTTTTACGATAATTGATCGCAATCGAATAATAATGTCGGTTTAGACCATGTATCAATGCTTGAATGGATGGTTTGTTCAGATGACCTAGATTTGATGTCGTTTGTCGTGGTTCCTGGCCCAGTACCATTGTATTTGGATTGATCAACCGAAAAGCATCGATAACAACTTTTCCTTTCACCGATTGAATGGGATCGATTACAACGGCAACAGCACGATCAGATAATGCTTCGAATGATTGTTGGGTATTGATATCGACCCCGGATAACCAACAACCAAAACCCGGATGAGAATGATACCATCCAACAACCATCTCAGGTCGTCCAGTTTGTCGTAACATGTCCAACATTTTTGCCTGGAACACCGGATCGACTGCTTCAACACTTACACCCTATTCCAAAAAAACAATTGTTCATGTTAGAAAATTGCCAAACAAATCAAATCGAAAATTTACCGTTCCAGACTGTGGCATAGCGAAAACATCGATAACACGTACAGTATAATCATCGACAAATTCACCCAACATCAGACCCATAACTTCCATTGGGACACCGGCACGACCATGTTTCAACATTTTCAACAATGCCAGCGATGAAATATATACCTGCTCAGCTGTATCAACAACTGGACCATCACTTTGAGCACCACCAGAACTTAAATTCTGCAGACCGCTACTTAATCGCAAAAGACGATCCATTTTTCGATGATGATTTCAAAATGATCAAAAAAGAAATTGAATGAACAAAATTGTCAAACGCACAAGTCAACACAGAAACAAAAATTGCTGAGGATTTGTGTGATTCAGCAGAAATTAAAAACAAAGTAAATATTACTTTAGCACAAAAAGTAAAAAGGCGTGGTTAGCTTGCATTATAATAGTTGAGGTCACGTGACATTTGATTCCTCCCTTTTTTAGGTTTTTTTCGAATATATTTGTTCAAAGTCGACGTGCACGCAAAATTCGACGATTAAAAATAGAGTTTGTTTGGTATAAAAATTTAGTTTATTTTTTCCAAATAAAATTGGTTTTTAGTTTTTGTTTTGGAAAAATGTTTTTATCATCGACAACAACAATGATAATTCATTCGATACAATTGACAAAATGCTTGAGATAACTTTCAATGACAACTGTTTGCATCTGTCGACGTAATATTCGACAAACATTGATTACCTCATGACATTGATGCACGGTATTGATGATGGATTGTTTGAGTTGGAAATTGGAATTAGGATCCAATTGAAATTCACTTCGTTTATATTGTTCGGGTATCTGAAATACCTTGGCAATGTATCGGATGTGTTCTTTGTTGGAATTCAGTGCCCATACTATTTGTTCCAAATTGATGGAAATGCTACGAATTTCTCGCATTTTCTCCACAAACTCTTTCAAATTTCCTTCATGCTGTTGTTGAATGTCTGCGGAATATTTTTTCAAACCATCGATGGCTGTTTTGGCATTGATGATGATACGTGTTTTTCGTGCAATGAGATTCAATGTCGACATCTAAAAATCGAATGGAAATGATTATTGTGCTAAGAAATCACTGATGAACATTACCAATATTTCAATGATACATTCACAGATTCGTTTTTCGATCGGCAGACGCTCGATAGAATTTTTGAAATTAATCAATCGATGACCTTTCATTATGCGCGATAAATGATAATCGATACGGTTTTCCAATGAATAAACATCGATTTTATTTCGGCTGCAAAAATTCAACAAATTTCCCTGTTTCGATGAGTAGTTGTATGATGAATTAAACGATGTTACTTGTCGTTGTTGTTGTTGATTGAAATTTGACATTTGATTGACATAATCATCTGCCGAATTGGTTTTTTCCGAAATTATCGACGAATTGATAATTGTAGAGCCTGACAAAGGTGAATTGATCATGATGGTGGTGGAACAAACAAACTAAACTGAATTCAAGAATTGTAATGTGGCCAATGCACACCAAAAGCAAATTCGAAATTGCGAAAACATTCGAAAATTCGATCACACTATTAAGGAATGCATCAAAAGATGGCGTTATTGTTTTGTATTATTTTATTGGATTTTTTGATTTTTGTTTTGAAAATAAAGTTAGATTTGGTTTTGGTCATCATTTCAATGACATGACTACATAAGGATATTCTTCCAAATGCATAAGATTTTCATTGGATTCGAAATATCCATAGCCATTTTCACCCCAATTATCACTCCAGCTATTACGTACAATCCAATAATCAACACCTTCGGGTGACGTTCCGTAACCGACAACATTGACAGCATGATAATGTGGAATAATGCCACGATCAGTTGTTATTACATAACTTCCACTAATAATGGTGAGGATGAATGAATGAGACATGGTTTGTTAATGAAAATTGTACATACTCGTAATGGCGGAAAGCATTAATGTTATGGATATTGATTATGACAGCAACTGCCGATTTATATTTATCCAATGCTGTTTTAATCAATTCAACATTCGAATGATCAATTTGACAATATTGCTCGATCGAGTGTCTTGGATTTTCCGGTGGTTCGCAATTGTTTTCCTTAAAGGCAAAATAACGGTGATTAACAGGATGAATTAAAGTGTGTCTTACCACTTACTCGAGCATTATACTCATATGCTTGTTCTTCGACAATACCATTCTGTTGAATGTAATCCAAACCTCTTGGTATAGTATCACCGTGACAACCACGTCTGGCTGCACAATCAACCAATTCCTGCTCAGCCAAATTAATGGATTGATTGCGGAATGCTAGATAAGCTGATTCAACAGCAGCTACACCGGCGAATGCCCAACATGAACCGCATGCACCTTGATTACGTATCGGTGTCAAATGATTCAACGAACGCAAATCCAATGATTTTGATGTGGAAGCTTTCGAAGTTTCAAAATCGCAGAAATCCATTTGAGCATTGGATTGTCGGGCAGCAATGTTCGCTTGACTCATCATGTAGGATTGTTCGAATTGTTCTAATGACTAAGATGAAAATGATTGTTGATTTGGTTTTGGATGTTAGCAAAGTTTCAATGTACAAACCAAATCGGATAAATGATTGATAGCAGCTCCTTTGTTTTGTTGAACGAATTGTAAGGATTCGAGAAAATTTTTTCGTGCTTCCATTTCTTGTTGGATATTTTCATATTTTTTACCAAAAGTTTGCTAATAATTTTCGCACGAAATGACAACACACATTACCCATCAATCAATCAATTTTGGCAACTTACTTTGAACTGTTCAAATGTGGTGATTGATTTTGGACGACCATGGCCGTTGACGAAGCTCACCAAGATGGTGGCCACCGATAATGCAATGATGATTTTCATTTTTCTTTACGAATCTACAAATGGATCTACAAATTTTTTATAAATCTACAAATGATTTATACTTGAGGATAGCTCGCTGTACCTAAACATATCGCATGATTGATTTAGTGATAACAAGCATTTTTGAATTGGATATCCCGGATCTACATATGATAATGATAGGATTTCTTTTCAAGTTTTTATTTTGGATCCAAAAATAAAAGAAAGGTTATTTTTTAAAAATTGAGAAAAGATTATTTTTTTTAATTGAAAGCAGCATCTTTTTGGAGATTGATATCAGAAAGTTGCTATATATGCACGTTCTTCCATACCCCACCAATTAACACCTCTTTCCACATAGAAATATCCTTTATCTCCCCATCCAGTGCTCCAACTATTACGTACAATCCAATAATCGACACCATCTTTAGTTCCATAGCCGACAATGTTGATAGCATGTCCAGAAGGTTTACCTTCATCAGGAAAGGAATTTTCTCTTATGATGAATGAACCACTTTTGAGATGAGAAAAGGATGTCATTCAATAATTTCGATAATGCTTATGACACACTTACTTGTGATGGGCAAAAGCTTTCACATTCTTTATTGATATTTGTACTGTGATAGAGGTGCGTTTTTGAGCCAAAACTTTTCGCAAATCAGGTTTATTTTTATTTTTAATAGAAGGATCAATATAGGCGCACCAATTTTCTAAGGTATATCGTGGCTTTTCGGGCGGATTGCATGCGCCTTCCTGTGAATTATATTTCGGGGATGATTGATATTTTTACAACAAAAATAAAAATACAAACCTTAGCGGTGTATGGATAAGCTTTTTGTGTGGTAGTTCCATTGGTTACAAGATAATCGAAAGCTATGGGAGTAGTGCCTATTTCACATCCATGTTCGACTGCACAATTGACCAATTCTTGTACGGATAATTGTATGGAAGCATTATAGCGAGCTTTATATGCTGATTCGGCGGATGATATGGGTGAAATAGCCCAACAACAACCACAGTGTAATGTTTGTCTCATAATCGGTGATAAATCTGGACGCAAATCGACTTGTTTGGGTGCTTCTAAGTTTTCATCAAATAGACATTCGGGATCATCATGGTAATCATAACCAGCACGTAATAATTTCAATTGTTGTTCGGAATCCTGCATGCTTTCTTCGCTCATCAGATATCCATCAGCAAATTCTTCAGCCGACTATACGATAAAATTGACAATAGAATTGATACATTTATTATAATCATTTCCAAGCAAATACAAACCAAATCAGCAAATTCATTGATAACTGCTTTATCTGGATTAGCATCAACATATTTCAATGTTTCCAGGAAATTTTCTCGGGCATGTTCTTCTTGCTCGATACTATCATAATGTTTGTTGAATTGGATCTATGGAAAAATGGAAATTGGAAAAAATCAAAAAATGGTCAATATGGCAATATGGCGAATGTTAACCAACTTTGAATTGTTCGAATGTACGGATATTCCAACCAGTGGGGCTAGCATGGTTAAAATAGATGCCGATGCTAAACACCAAAGGAAGGATGATTGTTGTGAAAACAAGTTTCATTTTTTGACGTTTTTTCTCAGTTTCGAATTGACAGATGAAAATCAACCTGATCGGTTGATTGTTTTTATAATAATCCAGGATCGTACATTTTAACCCTTTCTTTTTCATTTTTTTGGTTGGTGACCATGGAATGTGTACCCAGCAACAAAAACCAATTGAAAATTGTTGCTGGGCTCACTTAATTGAATCCAAAATGTTCTCAAAAAATGGAATTTTTCCAAGAAAAGAGAATTATTTGCAAGAAAAAAGGGTTAAAATAAACGATTATCGTTGACCTTGTCAGCTAATAATAATGATGTTTATCATCGATCGATGTTTAATCTCGAGTGTAGCATGTGACAATCACATAGATTTTCTTTTTGAAACATATGGTCGATATGTCACATGTTTCCGATGTACGTTTTGACCTTAGGATTTATTGATTTGATTTGTTTCCAGTGTAAACATGATCAGAAAGGAAATGCCAAATAAAATTAACGATTCGTGTGCCATCCATTTCGGAAAGACATCAGTCATGATGATTGATGGATTGGATTTTATAATAGCCAAGTTTGTTTGTTGTATAATCACCAGATGACAACCTTTTTTTGAAAGGAGGATTTGCCATTAACGGTTTGCTATGGATAAACAAATTGATGTTCGCTATGGAAAATTCTGGTTTGGCTCATTCTCGAACACTCATTCTGAATGACTACCACCAATGGTGTTTATCCATTTCACTGAAAGAATGAAATACAGAAATTCTGCACAGTGTTTAGCCATTTGATTAAGATCACAATGTGACTATGCGTTTGTTTGTTTGTGTGACACGTTTTTTGATAGTAAATGATGATCACATGAACAATTCTATTTTTATATTGCCAAATAATCATCTCTGTTGATTTGGTGATGAACACCACTTCCTAGAAATGAAATGAAAGAAAAAACATTTTTTAATGATGTTTCATTGATAATGATGGTGGTTAGTGGTTGATAATGCAACAGAGTTAATCAAATGCTGATCATGATGACTGACAAGAGAGAAAGTTGATATTTATTCAAATCAACAGTACAGTGAACTTGATTTGATTTGAATCATTACATATTTTTCCTAATGCTAATGTCTTTTGTTTTAAGATTCTAAAAGAATATTGCCCCATTGTTCATTTTGACCATTTAGATTCTGACTGAATCATCGTTTGGCCATGAAAAAAAATTCCCGGAACCAATGTGTCATCGAGTTAGGCATGGCTGGTGTTAATTTGAAGGGTTGATTGTTTGTTAATTCCTGCTCATCAACTTTTTTTGTTTGATTGACAGAAAACGGTTTTTTGTTTTTGTTTGGCTTTGTTGTTTCAACGAAAGAATTATATAAACAAAATGCCATATCAACACGCACTGCCAAACCGTTTCGGTTTTTGTTTCTGCTCAATGTTCTTCTTAATGTGCGAGGTTAGCCAAACAAACAACAACGAACGAATTGATGAATAGAGGACCGGCGAGAAAACCACCATTTTTAATTTTCCAGAACCTCGATTATCATTGATGTCGACGAATAAATGAATAAAGGCATACGCAAGACACATACAGAGAAAACATCAATCGTCGTCGAACACAACAACGCAACTCGCAACTTGAACTTTTTTTCGACAAAAGGAGGCAAGCATTACTTTTCTTGGTTGGACGACGACCATTTCACTAAGACGAACAAGACAAATGACGGCGAAGACGAACCATTTGGTTTTCATCAACCATCAGCATAACATACTTGAAGAAGCAGATTCCTCATTTATTTATTTTACCATGAATCATATTGATGACTGCAAATGTATTGCTGCTTGATGAAATTTTTTGCCGATTAAATCTTGCTTGTTGATTTGATCTGATTTCTGGTGCTTTGTCGGGGCAGTTTGCATATGTTTTTGGTGTTTAATATCAACAAAAACCTCATTTCAGTGTTGTGTTTATGACTGATCTTTTTGCATATGGCATTTCGGGGGTAACATTATCCGTCGTCGGTCGGTCCGATAATAAATGTCGAATGACAATCTCAATGTAATCATCCAAGTTTTTTCAACCGATAACCCAATACGACAAGTGCTGTGTGTGTGTGCAGTGTTATTACTTGCCACTGTTGTTGATATTCAACAAAACAAACGGTTGTTTTTCTGATTTTGTTTTGTTTTGTCCAATGTTCGAACATTGACTCTTGATCGGTAGTGATTTGATGATGAAAATAATGTTATTTTGAATCAATATTGTCTCCAAGTGTAAGTTTTTCGAGAATGTATTTTCTTTTCTTATTGTTTGTCCTAAATTTGGCATCCGAGTGGTTGATTGGGTAACGGGGTTTGATGATGTTAAATAATTTGTCTTTACATAATTAATTCATCGGTGAATGATGGGTTTGGCATTATAATTGATATCACCAGTGCATGACATGATGCATTCGATATGATGCTTGTTTAGTTTTTTTCACAGAATTTGTGTAGAAAATTTCACACTTTTCGCATTTAGCAAGAATAAAGTGTGTGTGTGTTTGGTGCCAAATTACTTGCTTGTTAAACATTTTCGTTTCTTTGCTATATTGGTTGATTGAATGTGTTTTGCTAATGTGAATGCCAACTTTTTTTCGTCGTTCTCATCAATTATTGAAAAATTCATATATTTTCCTTCTCATGATTGTGGCTACAGTGGATCGAATATTGGTTGCTGATTTCCACAAGCGATAACCAATAACACTTTGACTGAATTTCATTTCCTGTGCTCCTTTTCTTCATTTCTTTCTCATTAGTGGTGGAGAATGAAGAGAATTGAAGATTGAGAAAAATCAGTTGCAAACTTCCTCTGTTTAGTTTATCTTGGCCAACCAACCAACAATATTCACTGTCAATGTCAGAAAATGTTTATTTGAATCTTTTCGTTTTTTTCTCTCCTCGCAGATCGATGAATATAAACAACTCTCCAAACACAATCCATCGTCGAATAATGAAAGGCTTAATTATCCATAGAATGGTGATTTGCGTTCTTCTCGCCATCATCATCGTGTTCGGTATGTTGATTCTTTGAAGAATTTATTGTTTGATTTTCTCCTTTTCTCCAAACCAAAGATGTGGCACAAGCACAATCATCATTGTCGTTGATGTGCAAATCACGACTAGATCAGTGTCAAACCGAATTCTTCAATGAATTAAAGCAGTATAAATTGGTGGAACATGAATTGAGTTATTATCAATTATGCAGGTTAGTCTCACTGATGCAGTGATTGCAATTGATTCAGTTTGGTTTGTTCGAACAGTTCGGATGGATCGTACATGCGATTTGTTGATTGCGTTCGTGAGATAAGCGAACATGATGTTGAATGCAAACAACAGCCATTACATCGTGAATTGTGTAATAAACGTGGTTTGAAATTATCATCATATCGTTATACATGGAAATCCAATCTTGTGCATGATATTTGTTACCGAACATCCGCCTCATCCATAATTGATCAGGATTTTTTCAAACATGAAAAATGTATCAGCGAAGTATTGAACAAACCCAAATGGCATTGTGATCTCGATCATTATGAAATGACCAAACGAACCAATGGATTGGAAGCATGCCAGTAAGTTGTGTTTTGGATATGTTTTGCTGATAATTTTGCCTTCATTTCGTTACAGACATTGGAAATCCTTCCGTCAATGCATCTATGATGAAGTTGATAAACATTGCGGCCAACTAGGAGCGAATATATCTGATTATCTATTTCATATTCACACAAGCTATTTCAGTAAATATACCATTTGTAATCTGCCGGGCGAATCACATACTAAATGTTGGTTGGATTTAATCGATTCGATACCTTCCATACCCATCACTGCATCATCAACAACAACTGCTGCACCACCCATCACAACCGGATCGCCAATCATCACTAGAATCATGGAAACGACCACATTGGAATCGATTGATCGAATCAATTCGCGCACAAATCTAATACGCGAGGCTAAAATGAAAAGTGACCATTCGAATGATGATGACCAACATTTTGTTTCGAATGAACCAACAACAGCCATTGCTGGTCAACAAACGTTCGATGGAAATAATGGTGGCCAAACTTTGGATGGATCATTATCGCTGCTTTTGATGATGGTGATATTGCTGACAATTCTTTTATTCTGACATGAATTTGTTTTCTCGCTTGTAATATAAATATGTTCATTAATCATCATCATACCCTATGAGTAGTAAATTAGCGCACACGTTCTACTTGGTAGTTCGATTGTGTAATTGATAATAATAATAATAATAATAATATGATTGAAATAGATATTTTATCGATGTTTATTTTGTTAAAAAATGAATCTGACATTATCATTTATCGTTGCCATTGTGGATCGGGTTGATTTCGTTGAAATGTATCAGTAACTTCGGTTCGATCATCATCACCGGTGAAAATATCAACATCATCCTCTTCGGTACGTTCAGTTTCAGGTTCTTCATATTTTTCAAATCCTGGCCCTTGTTTGGTTATCATTGGGGCCATTTTGGGGGCGACGGGGGTGGTCACAGCTTTAACTTTTTCATTCAAATCTTGGAAATTGTCTTTGGTTGGTGATTTAGGAGCGCCACCACGACGACGACCTCTAGCGGTAGGTTCAGGAATCGAATCGAATGTGAATCGACTGAATGCACTACATTCATCATCATAAAAATCGGTAAAAGTTGACATTTCAGTCTCATCCAGTGTTTTCGTTTTGGCTGTTATTATGGTATCGACATCATCGCTTTTGAATACGGTGAACCATAGATGTTGGTCCATTTTTTCTAATTTTAAACGTTTATTAATTTTAGTTGTTAACATACTGGCTAGAATTTCATATCCTGGTTTGCTTATTCGATTGGATAGATATTTAAGATTGCCTAGAATATCCTGTTCCATGTTTTTCGGTGGAATCTATGTCAATCAAACGAAATGGATGAATGGAACAAATGCGTTGATTGTCATTACACACATACCTTATAATCATATGGATATTCGCCACTTAGAGCAAAATATATTATGCAACCCAACGACCACATATCAGCCACAAGTGGATCATATTTCACTGTCTGATATTCAGTGCCGAATACTTCGGGTGGTTTGAAATCTGGTCGATTTGTATCACGATTACGCAACGGCAACGGTGGTCTCAGATTATCCCGGTAATTGGCGGAGTATATGAAAGATCGATAGAAGCCGGTCAACTGAATGGATGTTTTATCACGCAAACTAATCAAGACAGTACTTGATGTAAGGTTGTTATGACATACAGCCGAATTGATTAGATATTCGAGCACGCGGCAAAGTTGACGTGACCATTGGCATACTACCGATTCGACTTCGCCATCCGGTTGTCTTCCCAGAATATACTGTGTCAGATCGATGATATGGGTATGTTGTTGAAAAACGAAAATCTGATTATTAATATTTTGGAATACATCCCAGGTTTGCAGAATGCTGGGATGTTTTTTGCCCAAATATCTCAATATTCGAAAATATAAAGGATTACGTATTTGATTTGCCTGTTCTTTTTCGTAAACTCGTACCACCATTGGTAATTGGGAAAAGTCACGATGTTTAACACGATAAATTTGCTCACCAAATTCACTGCGAATTTGCACCGCATTGGATTTGCTCTGTTCGAATTGATATAGCTGAAATGTTGGTGAACTTTCTGCCGGCAGTGGACCATGTGTATGTAAAATACTTTTCGATCTTCGTTCTAATAATGTTGTTCGGTATTGATCAGCTTTGTTGGTCTTATTATTATTATTATTATTGGTTTGAGGTGCTGATTTTTTTGCTTTTGCAGATCGATTTGATGGTGAAGATCGTCTGGGTGATGTTGGTGGTTTTGATGTTTTTGGTATTTCATCTCTGTTGTCCTTTTTTCGTTCGGATTTGTCCAAATAATCGAGCATCCTTTTCGTGAAGAATGGCATTTTTGCAACACACAATCAAGTGTCTATATCTCGCAACGAGCCAAACAAGCAAGCAAACTACAAACTCTACCTCCTTCCAACATTGTATTTATATGCAAAACATAATTATCAATTTTATTAATAAAACAAAATTCTAATTGGACAAACTAAACATATTCAACAACAATAATAACGGAAAAAGGCTAATTTGTTTGTTGGAGTTGGGGTGTTTGTATAATTGATATTTACAAATCGAACAATCTCATTGCTTTGGCATCATTTTTCATGAATTACGATCAGAATTTTTGTCCTTGGCTTCATCGATTTCTTCTAGCGCTTGTTTGATAATGTTGACGTATTCTTCGAATTCGGCATCACCTTCAACAACACGACCGCTTCGGGTTTGAACGATGCCGTTGATGATTCCACGCAATAATGAATCATCCATTTCGGCCAGCACCAACCATAATGCTTTTTGTTTTTTATTAATGTTTCTGTTGAGTTGGAAAAGTGATTGATTTGAAATAATAATGACTCACAGTGATTCAGTCAAATACTTACGTAGGCAGATTGATTTTGACATGAACATAATGATCACCTTTGCCGTAGCTATTGACACGCGTGATTCCTTTCTCCGGCAGACGAATTCGTGTATGCGATGTTGTACCGGGTGGAATTTTGAGCGTTAAATTTTCATATAACCCTTGAATCGGTATCGAACCGCCAAGAATGGCCTGAAATACATTCACTTCGACATCGGAATGTATGTCGGCGCCATCACGACGAAATTGATTCGAACGTGACACACGAAACGTAATGTACAGTTCTTTGTTGCCCACTTTCATTCGAATGCTTTGGCCATCATCTACGCCTGGCGGGACATTGATCTGAATTTTTTTCCGTTGTTTGGTGATGCCTTCACCATGACATTCTCGACAAGGATTTTTGATCAGAACACGTGTGCCATGACATTTGCGACATGTCGTGCGCATTATAAACGGACCATTCGATACAGTTTCCATGCCGGTACCTTGACAGTATGGACATTTTACTGGTTTCTCATCACCTTGGGATCTGAATAAACAATTAGATTAGATCAAATCGATTGATTGACTTACTTGGATCCATGACATTTAGGACAGGTATCCATAACATCGATATGAACTTCTTTTTGGGCACCTTTGGCAGCTTCGGTGAAACCCAGGCTCATGTCCATTTGTAAGGGCGTACTGAATCCATATTCATCGGCAAATCCACCACCAGCACCACTAGCACCGCCTCCAGCGAAATTTCTCATTTCTTCGAAAACCTGTCGGAAAATGTCTTCACTGCTGAAACCTGATGAGAAGCCTTGCCAACCGGAGAATCCACTGCCAGGGCCACCGCTGCCAGCCGTCGAATTGAAATCTCCAGCACCACCGTATTTCTGGAAGTCATCATACTGTTTACGTTTTCCATCGTCGGATAGTACTTGGTAGGCTTCGGAAACTTCTTGGAATTTCTTACTGGAATTGGGATCATTTTTATTCGTATCTGGGTGATATTTCTTGGCCAACTCGTAATAAGCTTTTTTAATCTCTTTAGCCGATGCACTTTTATCGACCCCCAGTATTTTGTAATAGTCTTTTGCGGATAGTGTTGATGATGTTTGTATGGTTCGTTTGGATGATGTTGTTAATTCAAGATTTTTCCAATTGCTACATTTCCACTGTAATGTGAGTGATGATTGATTGGTCCTAGATAATGAAGCTGTTGATCTTGTCAATAATTGCTGTCGTTGTTGAGATATTATCAACAGAATATTTAATCTTCGGGCAAACATGTTCGAGACAAGGTCAAATTGAAGAATTTCGATCTGTTTGTGGACCAAGAATTGATGAAAACATTGAAAACATGACCATCGCCACACACATGTGATATTGAATCGGCCATCAATAGAGTATGTTACCAATTACAGTGCACAATTCTGTTTTGAATCGAGTTTTGTTTCTAACTTATGATTACTGATTTGGACCAGAATTTGCAAAAATGTCATCATTTTTCGTGCCCTATGACGGTTATCAACCGAAAAACAACGAATGGAATGGATATAGCGTGATATTACCATGTATTTCAGTGGGTAACGTTCCGCAATTATCAATCGATCTGCTGATCAATCGATTTCTTACAAATTGCAATCGTTCAACCGATTCCTCGGATTTGGAATTGATTGGTTACCTCGATTCGCCGTATGTACGACCGTTTGCTGGTCCTGATCCGTTCCGATTGGATGGTAGTTTATTATCAACTTCGTTGCAGGTTTTTGTTTCGAAAAGTAAAAAATTGATTCTGATACAACAACGGTCGCCAATATACAAAGAATATCGTGACCAATTTTATCAACAAATACTGCAATGGTTATCGTGTCATCGATTCGAATTGATAATTGTATTATCATCAACATTCGATCAATTTTTGGCTCCCGAATTTGTCAATGACGATCAAGAGGGTATCCCGATTCGTTATCTATCGAACAATCTGAAGAAAGAAACCGAATCCTTTTTGAATGAAAAATTGGCCATCAAACCGGTGATGAAAGTAGACCCCGAATCGATGCGACCATCCGACAATGGGAAAATTCATCTACCTGGATCAGGTTCTGCTCGATCGTTTCTACGATTTGGTGGACGCTTGTTGGTGGAACAACCTATACTATGTTTGGTGATGTACTGTTCGGAAGGCGATAATCGTTATCATTCTGTTTATTTGGCCAATAAAATTGCCAAAATTATCAATGATGATGATGCAAATAAAAATCATCGATGGCAAGAACCATTCTCTTGGCGTATGATGTTTGGCGAAGAACCGCCCCCAGAAATATATTGAATATTGCATCAACAGAGTTTCACCTTGGTACATTGATTGATTGATTGCAATGTACGAAACAAATATCAACTTATAAAAAATTTATTATTATTTCAATGAAGACTTGGAGTGAATAACAAACTTTTGTTTTCATTCTTTTGTCTGGCTGCTTTTATTCAATTCTTTTTTAATCAATGAAGTGATGTGAAAATGGCAAAAACATGCAAACAAAGCAGAAAGAACTGTAGACACATTCACTCAGTTGTTAACATTGTTAATTGTCTTGTTCGATTCAATGATCATTATGGATGATGATGATGAACTTGTGTGTCTGTTAATTTTGCAAAATGATCAAACAACAATGTAATTGCATCTGGCAATTTCAAATTTTCTAAATGCGCTCACTCTCTCTCTCCTTTGAACAACAATATTGGCCAGCACTAAGGACGGGCGCGCATGCATTTGATTGCCGGGAAAAGGAATCGGGCTTCTGGTGTTGGAACTGTGGTTCCAGAATGTGATATTATGTTTGATTACCTCCTCTGATTAGTTGAATAGTTGTTGTGCATCATTTGCTATGTGTTTGCTTGCGGACACAAATGTACCTCGATCGATCGACAATCACTATTAGCATTACTTCTAAAATGAATCATACATTCGACAATATGACTGATGATTCGTCCATCAATGATACAGTAGATCGGATATGCTCGTATTTGGACCGTCTACTCAACAGTGATGATAACATTGACCTGAATGATTTGACCAAATCAACCACAACCAGAACCCGGTCAATGAAATCGATAACAACGACAGTATTCAATTTGAATGGCGATCGGAAAATGATATTGGAAATTTGTTTGATTCTCTCATTACTAACTCTCATGATTAGTTTTTCGGTATATTGCATATTGCCAAATCTACGAACTGTTCCGGGTAAATGTTTGATGGGGTTGATTTGTAATGAATTTCTGACAAATCTGTTGATATTCATTGCCATCGAATTGCCAAGAAATCAATTGAAAACGGTTTGCATGACGGTGGCCATATGTTTACATTATTTATTGCTTAGCATGCTAAGTTGGACCAATTTGATCGGTAAGCATTAATAATGATCATTATTTCTCTATCATCATGTTGTCGTTTATGACTGACCAGCATTCGACATAATGCGAAAAGTACGGTCTCCAACACTGGTATTGCGTGGTATACTTCGCTATTTTATTCTGGCCCATCTCTTTCCAGCATTCATCATAGTGATTGCATTGGCAATGGATTTTTTCAATCGTCATTACTGGTCCACCAGAAACAACAACAGTGATGGAACTCGGTCCAGAATTGTCAATAAAATTTTATCATTTCGACCGAATTATGGTGACCATAACCATTGTGGTATCAGTAATGTTCGTGCCCATTTTTTATTTGTTGTTTTGCCAATATCGTTGTCGTTTTGTTTTATTGTTCTGACATTGATTGCCGCCATCGTTCGGATCAAATCCTCTGCACAAGGCTTGAGTCGTGCATTCAAATCGTCAACAAACCAGGATAATAATAGTGAGAGGAGAACGACCACAACACACAATGATTCGAATAACAGCAGCCAACATCGTAGTGGTCGACTAATGGCCAGCAATTCATTACAACAACGTCTGGTTTGGTATATGAAAATCTTTATCCTGTTGGGCGTATTGAATCTGCTAACATTGATCGGGAATGCCTTTCTCAATAATTGTCAGGTGGCCAATTTCTGGTCATTAATGTTATTATCATCACATGGTTAGTGTGCGCACCTGTTTAGCATTTGCTATTGTTTCTCTAATCCTCTTTCTTTCTTTTTGTTTTGTTTTGTGCTATAGGTACCTGTATATTTATTGCATTTGTGTGTAAAAAATCCATTTTCCGTCAACTATATCGACACCTTAAATCGGATTATTCGCGAACAAGTTGCGTGCTTGGTGCTGCTGGTGCCAATCATAACAATAGCAACAAATTTGATAATAGCCAACGACAGTCGACTATACGAAATAATGATGATGATCACCGTAATCATCATCATCATCGCGGATCACGGCAGCCCAAACATGACAATGATAAGGACGGTGATGAAAGGAATGGATGGAAAGAATCGGCAATGTATCTGTAATGATTAATAGTTTGTTTGCTTGCATGATCCATGATGATGATTGTAATTAATTGTTATTTGCTAAATCCCATTGTAAATATTCTACTTTGTTGGCAGCATCGCACACATTCCCAATCATTCATTATTGTCATAAAAAGTGTATTTTTTCAATATTGTTGTTGTTGTGTAAAAAGTGCTTTTCCCTTTGAATGATTATTTATTGAAAAATATTCACCAAATTTCAATTCGATTTTTGCTATGTTTGGGTTTTACGATCACATCACGCGGTGAATGATAGTTTAGTTTTTCTGGCTGTCAAAACATTCATCAATGATCATTGCATGGGATATTGCTCTATTTTTCGCTAAAAATCATGGCAAATTCTTCCATTTTCAACTAAAAGAATTGAGCAGAGTAAATGAGGCAAATATTATTAATGAATTGAATTGAAGGGATTCAGATTCGAAACAACTTGATTAATGTGGAAAACATTTCGGTTATGATACCGGTTTGTTGGTGGATACATTTGGTAACCATAGTCAACTGTTTGACTAGATCGAGCGAATCAGTTGTTTTAGTGACTAGTGTGGAGCATAATGTTGGCCAAAATAATTGACTTTTACCACGATAGGTATAGATCAACATATCGGCATGGCTGGGAATCATATATTGATGATGTTGATCAATTGTGGGACCATCACTGGCCAATTTGTTACAATATTCTTGAATCATGATGACTTTCGGTTTGCCAGCAAACGGCTTGCAAAATTTGCCATTCAATTTATTGACAATAATATGCGAATTGATTCGAGTCCGATTTGCGCATTCAATCACTTTCCTGCATGATGTGGTCAAAATCAATACAATCAATGAATCGAATGATTCATCTTCAAGGCCTTGATTCAATAACTGCAATGTCTGTCGATCATTCCAGCCCCGATAACATTCGAATTGATAATTCAATTTGCCAAATGTTGATTGCAAAAGCCTGACGGTAGATTGGGATCGAACATCGGCCAAGTAATCCAACAGAATACATCGGCCGCGATTCCGGGTTGAATAATAAAGATTATTGTTGTCCATGCAATGTTGATCCGGCACTAAATTGTCACTAGAACAGAACGAGAGAAAACCAATGAAAAAGTTGTGAATGTCAGTGGAGAAGATCACATTACAAATTCAAATTGATTGCAGAATCTACTTGAATGTTTTTTCCATCCATCGTATATGATGCGTCTCAAATGACTACAAATCACTATTGACTGCTGAGTTAATAAATTATTATTGCCAACAACACTGGGGATCATTATCGGGTTACTATGGCGATTAATCTTGTTATCTGATTCAATTTCCGATAGATAAAATCATTCTCCCTGTGTTAATTGCAAGTCATAAATAAAGTTGAGGATGGCAAATGTGGAGCAGCAAATACAGTTACCGATCGACCACTGACGCCCACACTCGACCATGATCATCATGATCAGGATGATGACAGCATGGACAAATATGGCCAGCATTGTTTCCTAAAACAATGTGTGTGCGTGTGTGTGTTTGACATGTTAGCATAACATGAAGAACCTGTTGAATTGGTTGTGGTGATGGTCAAAGTCAAAGTGGGTCATAAGGGTTCGCTTTTGATGTTGAAAAGTGGATTCGATCAACTGGAGCAACTTTTCTGGTAATTAATTGAGAATTGTCCGGGAAAATGACACTTAATCAGCATTGATGTTTATGAAGACCACCATCCGATTTGATGTTGATTGAAATAATGTATCATAGATTCCGTATCGAATGGCAAATTGAAAGCCTGGTGATCTAATTCAATTTGTTTTTTAATAACCATCATAGTTGGTTTTATCGACGTTGTTAATCAGACATTTATATCACTATAGCAGACAAAAATGCATGTTTCTTTCGATGGTAAGCAGCCCAAGACGATATGACGATGCGGGATCATTGCATGCAGCAAACAAAAAAATAAAGAAGCAAGCAAGTCAGGAGTCTATCCAGGTTATTTGCTTTGATTTGATATTTATAAGTCTGACACACGACCATTCGATGATAATGGAAAATTTGCATGACTAAACATCGTTTCGTTTTGATTCGACCATTAATTGAACCAAAAATTATCATTGCTTTGCTCTAGTCGGATCGGTTTTTTTAATTATCCACATAATTTTTGATTCAATAAAATCAACGAGAATGGCTATCAAGCACGTGAAACGATTAAATTTTTTGATTGAATTTGTTGTCTGACTATTTTTAGTCGGTTAATGTTGAGTGGAACAAACAAAGCAAATAGAATTGTATTATCGGAGTGAAAGTGTAATTTGATAGGACTTTGGATTGGATCCGATTGTGATTGATGATGGACCAATAATCAATCAATTATTGATGTGCCCCAAACACTCAGCTCTCAATTTGATTATCGTGTTGAAATGATTTTATTATTAGAAACATGTCTATTATCATCATCATGCTGCCAATATCCGGTTGTGAGAGACAGAGGAATTGACTTTTCAATGGAGTAAGCTTGAAGCAATGAGCAATAGAATTGTAATTACTTTTGACATTTTTTCAAGAAAAATTAAAAAGAAACATTTTACCTATTTATAGTTGATTAGTGTGTGTGTTTTTCTGTTGAAATTTTCCGGTTCTATTCATGATAGCGATAATGATGATGAAAAAACAAACCGAATGAGCTGGCATTTGTAATGATCTTATTTTCTCTGTCTCTGCTGTGTTCTATAAATGGCACCGAAATCTTGCATGATGAGGAATGTCTTCTTTTCAGGCAAATCATTAGCGTGAAATGAGAAGCTGAAAACAGCTGTCGACGTTTGTTTGTTTGCTTGTTTGCTCGTTATGTTTGTTTGACGATGAGTTTGATTGATTGTAAATGGGAAAAAAGTTGTTGTTGACACATTCACTCCTTTCTTTCAACTATTGGTTGCATTATTTCTTACGGCCAAATTGTGTCCAGTGAAAGCAATTATTAATCAATTTAATTGTCAAGTTTTTCCATTTCACTGGTTGGACTGAGCAGAATCGAAATTGTTTCCGTTTTTCTTTTTTGAATTGGTTAGATGGGAATGGATTATCAAATTTTTCTGAACAATTGTTGTGGAGCAATCAAGCACCATTGAATAATGATTTTCGATAGAAGCATATTTTTGGTGAAAAGCAATGATGAAATGAAATGGATTGTGATTGAATAATCAACATTGATCACTGCGACAAAATGTCACTATTTAGTGAGAGGGCTACGGTAAATGGATTAGTGGAATGCGAAATTAATGATGATCAAGTAGGATATTTTCACCTGATTTTTCTGTTTTTTCGAAACTTGAACTTGTCACTTTGATGGCATCATTTGAGTGTTTGTCGCTACTGCCTCTCGCCAGAAGAAATGCTTTTGAGGAAAACCACTTGATAAACATCAATAATGGATTCGATGAATACATTATGTGTGCCAGTAGCAGTTGTTTAATAACGGTCATTAAAGAGTTAGTTTAGTATGATGTCAATATTTCATGGCTCTTCCACTCTATCAGTATTGTCATCACCAAATCAAAATTATCAAGTACACTACATCTGCTAACCAATAATTATGCTTTTTCACGATAATTATCATGCTGCAGTGATGACCACCACCACCACCACCATCATCATCATCATTATTATTATGATTTACATTTCAATAAAGCCAAAGCAACACTAACAAAACATCCATGCTAACATCATTTTTGGCAAAGCGAAAATTGGTTATTTCAGTATGTGTGGTGTGTTCGGTGGAAGTGAGTAAGTTGATTGATCATCATCCAGTCGAGTGGAAAGTAGAAAGACGAGATTACAATCTTGGTCGACTGCAACCGAAAACAGTGTCTATTTTACTTGACCTGATTCAAATGTATCGGCAGTGAGGACCGTAATCCAAGTCTGGAACCTGATTAGATATGACATTTGATCTATTCTGTGTGACAATCATTTGTTTGTATTTGCAGGCAAAGTATCATCCCTCTGATCTGATGATGATGATTGAATCAATCAAGTTGATCGATCTGCGAAAAATATTGAATTTTTGCAGAAAAAGAATCGGATTTTCGCGTGTTCGAAAATATGACCTGATTCGATTCAATTCAACAAGACTTTCGATTATGATTTTTCACTTTTTGCCAGGTTATTGTTGCTTTCGGATTTGCATCGATCAGGTGTGGTGGTCGTTATCATGATCCACCAGCAAACCAGGATGATTTTTTATGATGATGATTGAGGAGGAAAATCGATTGTCGATCGAAAAGAGATGATTATTCTTTGGTTGCATTTGGTCAATTGGTCATTCACCCAGCAAAAAATGGGCAAAACTGAATTGAAAAAAACAGGTTGAGTTTTCCAAGTGAATAGAAGTTGTCTTATTATATAAATCATTTTCACGATGTTTACATTTCCAATTGATTGGTTGGTTTTGTTTTGCTCAAATGAAATCAATTTTGGATTTGCTTGGCTGACAATCGATTCGACCACAACAATGATGATGTGAAATACTTGGTGGATTGGAGCAATAAAAAACTTTCACCGATTTATTCTGTTCAAAGTAGTTATAGCACACTCAATTCAAATATTTGTCTATTTTTGGCCATCAATCGATCGGATGAGAGAAGGAGAGCAATCGATTGTAAAAAGAATGATAATTGCATTGATGATCACCATGGCCTATATGGTTTGTCGGTGGTAGACAAGTGAATCAATAGTTAGCAAAGTTAGCAAAGACAAAGGATATGTGATTGTAATCAATCCAATTGACCACCGTGGTGGTTATGTGTTATGTAAAACACTTTCACCGTTGATGGTGGCATCACTTCACAGTGATAATAAATAAGATTGGATTGTTTTGTCGGCTAAATATATAACGTTTGTTTGTTACCGAATTTAGAAATGCTCCAGTTGTGTGCGCAATTAAACCATTAGTGTGATGCGAAACAAGTGAGAGTGAAGTGAGCAACAATCAATTACTGATGACTTGTTGTTGATGATGATGATCAATTGATAATTACAACAATTGCCATTTTGAACCGAAAATACTTTTTCCTTACAAACCAAAAAAGAAAAGAAAAGAAAGTTGGTTGAAAACACTATTTTTGTCTTGTGATGTGAATGGAAAATGCCGAGTGATGCCGATTTGAACAACAAGGAAAGACTTGTTCACTAATACAGCGCAAGAAATTGATTCATTCATCCTTTGATTACAACAACAACAGCAATAATAATAGTAATAATAATAATCACTATCGATTCACCATTTAATCCGACTTAAGCATGATGATCATTATCCAAAGTGAATTTTTATATTTATGACGCCTCATGATTTTTAAATAGCCCAAAAATTTTTTCCCGAAAAAAACTGACTGAACAATGGTGTCCGAACAAGTTTTGAATGTTATTAAATTTTTATGTTTTTCTTTTAAAATTGCTCATTAATCATACGAATATAATGTTGTGGAATTGAAAAAATTCAAAAAATTCATCTCATTCATAATTGATTATCAATATCAATTGGTTGGTTGGTTGATGATGAATGTCGACTACTTGAGAAAAACGGTTGATATGGCTATGGTGATTTGGTTTGAATATTTTGGCGAATGGATGCTAACAACATAGAAATAGGACAACTCAATGGGTTGTCCATACTAAACTGCTGCAAGGCTTGTTGTTGTTGTGAAGAGTTATTGGCAACTTGTTGCACGGATTTAATTGATCTGATTTTGATGTCAATTAGCGGAGTTGATCATGATCATGTCTCCTCATCCTCATCATCATTTAGTTATGTGGAATAAAGGCAATAATTTGTTGAAAGCTTGATTCGCGCGACACATGAGCCTGATCAATATTGACTGGCCCTAATGTAACTGAGATATCTGACAATGCTGTGTGTGTGAGCAAAATTTGGCCAACCTCGCCTATTTTTAGTTGATTAAATCTGCACACATTTTTAATATGGAATGAATTTTTCATTATTTGAAAGAAAACATTTTTCAGTTTAGTGAATTATCGCGGCTATTAGCCGATGGAGGAAGAAAATTTATTCCTCAAATCACATTAGACAATGGGGCATCATGGTCATCCATAATGCTTATCAAGAGTGTTGTGTGTTGGTTGTCATCCAGATTAATGTTGTTTCTTCTTTCCTATCAAAATGATTGCCAGCCTCGTTAATGACCTGGAGGTTGGTCGAATTCTTTTGGTTGTGATTTAGGTTATCATTATTATTCGCTAGCAAGAATTCCAATCTCCAATTGCTGGACAGGTTTTTTCTGTTTGGCTAAAAACAAAAAGGTGAAAGTTCATCGCCAAAAACAACCGTTTGAAGAGCAACGGTCATGACCTAGCTGTTGAACGGTTGTTTATAATTAGATTAGTTTTGATCATGATGAGGATGACATGCAATATGCATTGTCCATACGGATGTATGTTTTTCGCTTGATATTTGTCGGTCAGTCGGCCGGCCAGTTGTGTGTGGAAAATTAATATTTTCCCATAAAATGTTCTCATCCAAATCCAATCACATCACATGCAATGATGAAGAAGAAATTAATTTTTAATTTCATTTTTGCCAGCCTCGGGCTCTTTCAACACAGCCATTCGCTTGATTGAAATAGAAAATATATTTATTTTATGAGGTCGTTTCGGATTCGTTCAATTCCGTAGACGATTCAATGTGAGTGTTGCTGTGAGCAAATCAAAATGAAAATTTAATTATCAAATGCCGAGCAGAGATTATTTGGTTTTATTTTTAGAGTGATGATCCGTGATGATTTTCTCATGTTGCAAATATTTCATAACATTCAATTATTGATCGTTAAGATTGTTTCGGCTGCTTGTTTCTCCACATTGATTTCAATGTAAAGGTTTTTTCACTTTCTTTCGATAATGATCCTGATTGACAAATGTGAATGGAATCTGGCACACACACACACACACATTCATCTTTAAAATGAATTGGTTATGACCATAATGATGACATGATCATTTTGATTGGCCCCAAAAATGCTCTTCTCTGCCAGTATTGTCTCAACGAAATGGGAACGCCAATATGACAATAGAATCGAATCAATTTGTAATCGATAATGATGTTAACCAGCAAAGCAATATCGAAATTGACAATCAAAAACAATGATATAGCTGTGAAAATGGCCAATGAGTAACGATGATGATGAGTGGATATTGTAATGAAATGATCATCATGATTGGCTAAATATGGCGGGCCATTCAACCGGATTGTTTTGTTGTTTCTTAACTCACTTTACCGCTTTGGACGGTGACGATGAAAAGGAAAAATTATTTATCGATCGAGATCAAGTGTGTGTGTGTGGAAAGAAACAAACCGTAGACATTGTTCACATCAGTTTTATGATTTGGCTCTTTGCTTGCCATCAAATATACCAGGTTCTTCTGCTTGATGCTCTCTTTTGGTCGAAGTTTTCTCTCTATTTGGTTGTCGAAAAAAACTAACGGACCTCCCGTTCACTTTGGTTCAGTTTGTGAGCTCACCATTGATGGCTATTGGGTTGGTTGGGAGAAAATATTCAGCATAACATGTAATGCTTGTATGATGTTTCGGTTAGTCTTGATCCATCATTCGACTTGTGAATACTTGCCATTCCCTTACACATCATTGCAATATTTTCGTGTGCATTTGGCAAAGCGGTCATCATGAATTGTTTGATAATATGGGTAAGCCAATTGTGATGAATAGTGATGATTTGAAATGGAATAATAACGTTGTTTTTAGTTTGTCATGTTTGGAATCTGTATGGTAGAAGGTCATGTTTTACCGTATGCGAATTCCATTCCGAAACATTTACAGGATCTGTACGAACAAGTGTCCAACAAAGCCAATCAGCCACCCATGGTTGGTGCTGGCGTAGAATCTCGTCGTAATGGCCGAGGATTATTTTCCACCTTGTCGGGATTGGGAAATGTGGCCGCTGCAGCTGCGGCTGGTTCCAGTCTATTGGCCGGCAAAGATCCTGATGATGATGACAACATTGTCAATCATCTTTCCTCCTCTTCCTCATCATCATCGAATGGCAAAGGCAAGCCGTACGCATTCAATGATGTTGAAATGTCAGCTTTGCAAACAATGATTTCCATTCGCAACATAATTGGTGATCTTTTCCATAAGGTGGGTTTCAATCTGCCATCGTCGTTGGCATCGTTGATCACTCGCTCTTCCGATCCGAATGGTCTTGATGACGACAAGCATTCACTCTTGTCCAGCGATTCCAGTGCGGCAAACATTTTATCGACCGCAGCATCCAAAGTGAATGCCGGTCTTTTGATTCGTGGCCTGGCACTGTCATTACCGTTATTGATACCGATGGCCAATCAAATTCGCCGTATGTCTAGTGATGGCGCTCCACTACCCCTACAGCCATTCGCATCATCATCGTCATCGTCATCAGTGCCGACATCATCACTGATGGCTGCACCAATCACGTTTCAATTGCCACAATTCGATCCATATGGCTATGATCGTGCCCTACATCGACGACGTGGTAAGCGTTCTGCAACTGCACTGTCCGAATCCACGCAACGAATGCTACGTCGCCAAGAACAACAACGAATATTACGTTATCTGAAACAAATGGAAGAGATGTATGGCATACAACAATATGGCCCACAGCAACAACAACAACAAACCAACGAACCTTATTATCTGCGAAATGTATTCATATCACAACCACAATCACAGCCACAGCAGCCACAACAGCCCCATTCACATGATCAACATAATCATCATTACCAACAGAATTTATTCGGTCGAACAAGAACAACTTTATTCGAAACATAGATCATCTCGATCAACGTGACCGGAACCTAGTTGTTGGATTTATCAATTTTTTCGCATTCATCTCATCTCATCTTCTCATCAGATCATCATAATCATCATCATCATTGTCATACCTCTCGTATATCTCAATTTTCCCAGTTAGATCAATAATATCTTGATGCACATAATTCCTTCGAGTAACATTGCCATTGTTCATGATGCATTTTACCTAGTTAACATTTTTTCTTTTACGATTTGCGGAATCTTTTGTGTCTTTTGACCATCAAAATACAGCAGCGCATTGATCAATGTGGAATGTGCAAACAATAATTAATTGAGCCAACATTGAGCTGTCAGTATTGTTGTTGATATGATGGCAAGATTTCCATGAGATTTGCTTTTTGTTTCTGCTGCCAATCATCCACTGATCACAATCATGATTAGAGATTTTATCATTATCCATAGTTTAAGTGATGTGCTTATGTGTGTGTGTCAGTGTCTGAGTGTATGCATTAATCCACTCAATCCGATCTTCATCAACCACATCAGCAAGCTAATTCAATGATTGGGCTCAACCTTCTAAATGCCAAACGAATGGATGAATATTGAATCTGGTTAGGTGAACAACAAAACCATAAGCATAATTTATCTGTTTGCATTGGCCAAATTCTTTTCTCTACTCTTGCCTGCATATTGATTTCAAGCAAAAATACAATTCGACAACAATACTGAAAATTGAATGTTTGGCCTTTGATTGGATGATGAGCATGAAAGGATTGTGATGCTAACATGATCATGCAGCTGGTTTGATAAGAAAATGTATTATTCTAATGGACAATATTACAATGTCAAATAATTTATTTATATCACTGCCATTTCCCAATATCTATTATCAATGATTGAGTGATCATTATCATTATCATTATGATTATTGTTCTCTAATAATGATCATCATCATAATGTACCATAATCAATCATACAACAATATCCAACATATCAATCGATTCCGTTCTTCGTTGCTACACACACACACACACAATACACAATATATTGTTACTTTATTTTGAATTTGGTTGAAGAAATAAAATGATTCGATTCGATCAATGATTGCTTCATCATTTGTTTGACAATAATTGAATGATGATGATGTATGGTACAAGTCTTGTTTTTGATCATTTTGATCAGTTTGATCATTATCATTATGGTTGTTGCAATTGAATGAGCACTGATAATGGATTAGTCGACATTGTTGTTATTGTTATCAATATGAAAACAGATAAACGGATAACAAGCAAAGATTGATCGACATGATCGTCTTATTCGCTGTTTTCCTATCCAATTTGCTATTTTCACGGTTTTTGTTTTTCGGTCACCAGGTCAGGCCGGTTGGCAAATGTGTTTGATTGTTGCTGAGTATTGTATCGCCATCTATGATTGCAAATGGCATTCAATTCTTTGATTGGCAAATTTTGCTGGAAACGGTCTTGTCAAGTAAGAGGGGTAAAACGGTCTTTGATAGCAATTGCATATGTCTGTGTTGGAAGTTTTGATTGTGTTTAATCAAGGTAGTTGGTAGAATTAAGCCCGCCCAATCAATCTGAACTTGGGTATAAATAGAGAGTAGGTTATGTGAAGCATGATCATTGATCTGATTGATGTCATCGTTTTCACATGTGATATTGGTCTTTATTTTGTGCCACCCTTGATATTGAAATCGTTTTTGCTCAACATACTACCCTGCACAAATGGCTGGTCAACAACAATCATCGTTTGGCAATTTAAATGATGAAAATGCCAATCCAAATGTAACAATGGCCGAATTACTTCTTGGTAAAGATCATCGACAAAAAATTGAACAATTGAAAGATTCATTCAAAATAGAAAATAAAGGTAACATTTGGAATTTGTTGATAGAATGACATTTTGTCTTATCATTTTCTCCGCCAAATTTAGATTCCAATCAAACTGAGCATTTGCCATCTACGGAAATATTGGAAGAGAGAAATGTCTTTATATTGCAAAGTAAAATCATTACGCTTGAATCAAGAATATTCACTTTGGAATCGCAAAATAAAGCCAATCGACAAGAATCTCTTCGTTTAAAATCCAAAATATCGGAAAAAAATGAACAACTTTGGAGTGTGCGAAGATTGGATGCCATCAAAGATGAGAAAAACCATGAATTAATGCAGCAGATTGCTTCATTGCAATCCCAATTGGAATCATCTGTTCGTTCGAAAGCGGAGACATTGGAAAAAAATGAACAACTTTCGAAATTGCAAAGAACGCTGAAAGCAAAATTAGATTCTGTTCAAAGATTGAATACCATCAAAGATGAGAAAAACAATGAATTAATGCAAAAGATCGCTTCGTTGCAATCCCAATTGGAATCATCTGTTCGTTCGAAAGCAGAAACTGATGATGATGGTTACGATGATGAAACTTCCAAACAACGACCATTTCAGTGTGATACATGTGGGGCCAGATTTAAAAGAAATTATCTTTTGGAACGTCATCATCTATCACATTCAGACAGACGTCCTTTCAAATGTTCAGTGTGTAAAACCAGATTTAAACGTAAAGATGATATGCAACGTCATTATCGAAGCAAACATTTATAAATGTGATTTAAAATGATTGATATAAATAGATGTAAATAATATTCGCAAAACTTTGTGATTTTCTAATTTCAACATAAAATGATGATGAAATGAAGAAATTTTTCATGTGTTTCTGAATTTTTTAATGAAAAAATCATTCGCGCATTCTGATTTATAGTTTGCATTTGTGAAACTCCATACAACTAAATGGAACATAATGTATTCCGAAGGATGATAATGTTGAATTTATGTGAAATTGTTTCTGGAATTTTGAACGTCGTTTATGAGCAACGCCAAAAGTTCAAACAACTTGCGTTGAAAAGAGCATGTTGAAAAGGAAAGTTGTCAATTGTGAACTTGACTTTGCAGTGTGAGCACGTTGTGGAGTGATGAAATGAAACTTGTTGTTTTTGTAAAACATCAAATGAAGAATTCTTTTTTGTGTGATTATTCTGTTGCGAATTAATTGTGACACGATTTATTTAGATGTTTATTGATTAGAAGTTTTTTGATGAGTTTTCCCGAAAAAAGTTTTTGTGAATTTTTCTTTTGATGTTTATCATTTCATCATCGATTCACTTTCATTTTGTTTTGAGTAAAGTTTTCTAAAAAATGAAAAATCATTCCCCAAAAAATTAAGACGATGAAATTGATTCTTTACNTTTTTTATTGTTATCATGATAGACTACGAGCGGCTGTGTACGATGGAGATTGGGCAACAATTGGCAGGATCAATCATCATATGGTTCTTTCGGCAGGATGGACAGCATAATTATCAATGAAAGCACAGGAAATACAGATAGCATGGATCAGGAATACATTGGGAGGATTATCTGGTTATAGGCTGGAGGACTGGGATCGGGATGT